TTGTAAAGTTTAATAGGATAAATATATATATATATATATATATATATATAGAACCATCGTTAAACAGCTGACGCAATTTTTGAGTTCACGACTTTTGTTCAGAAAACAAGGAAACTCCTGGATTGGGAGAAATTTAGTGGAGGACTTTATGAAGGAATTATCCCGCATTTGCGTCACATGGAGAGAAAAATCACGAAAGCCTCCCACGGTTAGCTTGACAGCAAGGGGACTCTAACCCACGATCCGCCTACCACTGAGGATATTTTATGTAGCACTGTACTTTGGTTAGTTTGGTGGCTCTTACATTGTTTTTATATACTTTATTATTTACAAAGTCTGGGTTTCACCGAAAAGAGTTTGATCAGTCAGGGTTCCCTATCAGAAAAAAATTTGGGAGCCGCTGGTATAAAGGGACATTCCGGTATGTAATGACACTAGGAACTGTATTTGATTTTCGATTACTCTGAGAATTCTCTCTGGAGTTCCACTAGTCACTATTGGTGTAAATTAGTTGCCACTACTTTCAGTGTTAAGATACACTAAATATTTTAAAGGTATGAAAGAAAAATTTATTTACCTCTCTGAAGAAGTTACCCTGAGAGCACAGACAAAGAGTTGCTCATCGGTTAAAGGCCGACAAGTCAATTAATGCAAGGCAAGAAAAGATAATCGATCCGCAATTTATGCAACAATAGGCACCATTTGGTACAGATGAAATTGCGTGCGAGATAGATAAAAGCAAACATGTTTTGCTATTGATTTTTCAAACAAATTACCATTGATCATAAGCAAAAATAAGTATTGGTTAAACTTGTACCAAGGGTAAGCAATTCGATTTAGACTAAGAAATCTATAAATGAAATGGGGAAAATGATTGGATTTATTGATTTAATGAGGAAGAAAAATGCCATTTTTTATTCATGCAATTCATTTACACATAAAATGAATTGTATCGAATAAATATTTTGCCTCATAAATTTAATGCGTTTTTATGACTTTTTTAAAACTTTATATAGCTAATTTAAATATTTTTATTGCAGTTGACTAAAAATGAATAAATAAGGCAGACATGACAGCTATATTGTGATATTTTATCATATTCGTCAACAACACGCAAAATTTAACAGTGTGAATAACAAAAAAGTTAAAGTTAAATTTCTTTACATTTTCAAAATAATATTTAATATTTTTCTAAAGTTTTTGTAAAAAAAAGGACACAAACCAAAAAGACAAATGTTTTACGTACAATAAAAATATTTAAATTTTTAACAAAGAATTTGTGAATTTTAAACAATATATCAGATTAAGAGTGGACGAATAACAATGTGGAAATGATGGTTTTGTTACTATTACATGCAGTTTGTATAGAATAATTTTGATATAAAAAGCCTTAAAGCTGGGAAAAATATGTAACATTCACCGTTTCACTAACATAACTAGCTAGGAAACACTTTGCGATGTTTAGGGAAAAATTTGTCTAATAAATCCAATGTTATGGGGAAATTTTGTGAACTTTTCTTCCATTGCTAGGCAACAGAGATTACATTAAGATTGTAAGATTAGAACTACGTAACTATGTAAGGTTAGATCTTACATTTTTCTAATTTTTATTGTTGAAAGTTAAGAGTTTCTAAGCAACAGAATAATGTGGGAATAATTTTTTCAACAACACCGTAGATTTCAGCTACTGTTTAATAGTTAGTTACAGTTAAAATTAGAGTTACTTCCATCTAACTTCGTTAGAGAGTTACGACGTATGTGTAACATTCTCTGATTGGTCGAGAGCCGAAATTTACTGAAACAGAACCTAAGAAACTTTTTCTCGTAGATTTAAAATGGAGTGATCGAAACGGTATTTTTATTTTGGCGGAATCTCATAAATTCGGGTGCATATTCTTTTCCTTTGCTTTTAAAATTATACTAAACTGTTCCATATACACAAATACAATGATAAAAAACAGTTTTATTTTGTGAAATAAGTAGATTTTAAAAATTATGACAGCTCTACTTGTCACTTTTAACAAGCTATTTATGTTATTATATGTCGAATAAATCGTTAATTTATTGAAAAAAATGTTAGTTTTCTACCTAAAATTATTTGCGGGAAAAATTTTGGAAACAAACTAAAAATTAATTATATTTTTATATTTATTGTAAATTATATAAGCGTAATTCGCACATGAGCAATTTGCTGTACTTTGGCATAGTTCCTTGTCTTTTAACTGAGAAAAGAAAAACGAATCGAAATATTGATGCCATAAGCAACAATTCTGAAATGGCAGCTGTTTATTCATTTTTCAATTATTATTAATTATGGCAATTTGTCATTATTTTTGTTTGCTGTTTTTATTTTTCAATGCCTTGTCATGTTCTTTAGGTTCAGATTTTCTTCAATGTGGAAATGTCAACTTTTACTGAGTTATTGCACATTTTTAAAGAAATGCAAGTTGTTTTTTTAATGATTATATACTTGATTTTTATGCCTATTTATTTTTATGTTTGAAGACAAATATGTCATTTTTTTATAAATTACTCATGCATTATTGATTAAGAAAGTGCGTTAGGTATAGATTTCAGGAAGTCGGGATAGAGATCTTTTAAATCACTTTGCATTTTATTGAGTGTTGTTTTTAGAATTTCTTGCATAATGATATTATTATTTTCATTTTTCATTATTTTTATTTTTAATTATTTTTATTCGATAAATAAAATGTTGTTATTATATTATATACTGAAAAATCATACTACTCTGAATTTAATTTAGTGCTGTCTTTTGATTTTCTTCCAAAGTGTATTATTTTTTTTTAATTTTTCATTATTGTTATCTAAAAAATAAAATGTTGCTACTATTCCTTTTCTCTTTATTTAAACTTTATTTTTTTGGTTTAATGACACAATTATTAAATTAAAAGGTTCAATATGTAATATAACATGAGCACTCTAGTTAATCAGAAAGTGGTTAGAAATTTGACAAGCTATAAGTTTCCTTTGGCAATAATTTCAAGATAAATTCTATTGGTAACGGTCGTCGATTGCAAATAGTATTGCAATTCAGCAAACTGCTTCAGTTTAAATTTGAGTGCTCTAGCCAATCTTAAATGGTCAGAAACTTTTAAGTGACAGAAAATTCTCTCCGACAGTTATATCGTAAAAAGTGTTGCTGGTAGCGGCTGAAAAATGCTATCTCTTATTGACATAGAGCACGGAGATTTACTACTGCCTTGAGCTAGTCGGTCTAAAAACTGCAAGAATCCATGGACACAAACCTTCATCTATCGAGATTCCACCTCAAATATATTAAGATTCCATAAGGTAAACAAAAAATAAATAAGTGATATATGATACATCATATTACGATAAAAATATTTAAGTACTAAAAAGTACCTTAATAAAAATAATAATAAAAAATTACCGATGTAATTTTTGTAAAACTATCATAATTTACTCTTTTAATTAAAATGCTATCTATTTTAGTTTCCTTTTTAACATATCTTTGACTTAAACATTACATGGCACTAAAAAAAGAAATTAAAGTACTAATAAAAATCACTGTTAAAAGTTCCCATCACGGAATAAGAAAAATAGATTGTGGAGAAGCGTTCTTGAGTGTGGTAATCATTCCTATTATCTTCATCTTTTGCGATCCAGCTGTTTCAGTTAAATTGAGGGATTTTGAAAGACAAAAACTTTTCTTAATAAAAATAAAAGAAAGAAAAAAGAAAAAAGAGACTGTAAAAAATTGCTACAGTAGACTATCTATAAACTGTATAAGTGTATTGGGTGCATGTAAAAATTATTTTAAGCATACAATAATATGGTAATTTAATGATTAGCCCGATCACTGAGTTACTGATTCATTCTTTCACATAATTTAGATCGATTTGCTGACTTAGTAATTCACTAATCCTAGGATTAGCTTCAAGTCTTCTCCCGTTTTTTGCATGCTGTTTTAGATTCAGTCATAGTGATAGTTGCCATAGTGACACGCTATTCATAAACACAGCTTTTAATGATTGCAGTGATGAATGACGAAAAACAAGCACTTTTTTTCGGAAGTGATGTTCGTTGTTTTAATGAGTACAATCTTCTTATCCACAAAGTGCACTTGGAAAAAATTTCTGATTCAAAGATACATCATTTGTTACCTCCATAATAAGCATTAACAAATAGTAATAAATAATAGATACTTTGCAATTTTTTTAAAACTTTGGTTTATTTTAATAATGCATAAGCTTTGTAACAATACAAGTGTTCAATGACAATTTTTATAAACAAATTCTTGCATGAGTAAAAGCTCATGTTTTTATTCTTTTTCGTCCTTTATGAAGAGAATGTGAAAGGCATCATGTTTCGACAAAGAGGAAAGAACACAAGCCTGTAATATAAGACCCGAAACAATGTTAAATATTTAAAACGTCTTTTTCGAAACATTTCAGAAAAATAAATTGTTTAAACTTGATATTTTTATAAAATAGGATATTTTTTATTTGACTGTATTTTTTATTTGATCATCATACATTTTTTTCTGATCCTCCATTTTGGTAAAAAAAAATCACGATTTAAGGAAAATAAAGGCAGTACTTAGTAAATCTAAAAAAAATCAATGGCAACTCAGTCCACAATTTTTTTGTTTAAAGTTTTTTTCCGCACAGAGAAATATATAACGAGTACTAATTATTTGTGTACTTTGTCAATTATTTAGGGCAACGCCCAAAAAATGTGCAGAATTATAGTAATGATTTTCAAATTTTTTAACTCATAAACCTTTCATAAAGTGAAGATTTGGTTTATAATATTAACATTATATTAAAAATTTAATTTATATTAATAGCACTATATAATTAAAAATACAAATGTAAACAAAAATACCTTTTTTAAAATATTATTTTACAGAAAAACTAAACAACTATTTAATTTTAGATATAAACAAGAATGTATTAAAATGTCTACAGTATATAAAAAAATACTTCCCGAGCTAAATACTATATTTAAAAAGGATTTTTTCTTGGCAAATGTGTAAAAAAATGTTCACATTAGTCCACCTCTTTCCCGTATTTAAAAACCTTTTAACAAGATAATGTATAATACTTACTTTTGCTCCATTCTTATCCTTGACCTGGAAAAAAAAATAACGACACACATTAGATTATAATATTTTATGGAAAAAGATTCAAAAAGTTTTGTTATTTTCCATTTAGGCCTGAAATATTTTGTACAAATAGTACAGCGCAAGAGAAAAAGTTACATACGGTATAGTTTTGATCTAAATCGTCGAATTTCCATTACCACAAAATACTATATAACTTTTATGGTTTGAAGAGCTAAATTAAGTTATCAAAATTAACAACGGAGTAATAGCAGTCTGTAAAATATGAACAAGAATGCTGTTGAAAGTTTAAGCTGATTTCAGATATCAGAAGATTTTTACTAGCAAATAAATTGTTCGGGGAAATATGATTTGAGAAAGTCACACTTTCTTCGATAATGATATTTTTTTACATCAAATTATTATTTAGTATTGTTTTCAGATAGATATTTTCTGATATTTCCTGAATTTATATTAGATAACAGCACAATACTGTAAACATGTTATTGTCGGCTTGGAAATTGTGGTGTTTTTAAATCACTGGATATACATATTTGAGTTAACTAGCGTACAGAAATGTATGTTGCACATAATTCAGATTGATTCAAGGTACAACGAATATACACTTTTTTGGTTTTGTTAAGACCATTAAAAGAGGTAATATTTCTTTAAAAAAAATCGGTGTTTCATTTTATAGAGAAGGAAATTTTCGTATTTGATCTACTTCAGTGATGGGTTCAATTGTAAGTACTATTATAATTTTGTATTCAAATCAAACTTATTGAAAAAAGATATTCAGCAGTTAGAAAATTAAAAAAAAAATGTTCTCTCGAAAAGTCTTCAAAACTTTGAATGGTCATAAAATAACTGAGAGTACCTGTTACTACCGGTACCAACTACATATACCATATGCAGTATTTCACATTAGCAAATATTAAAAACCAGTATGAGATACTTGCGGTGCAAGGTACAATACTTTTTCTATATCTTAATAAAAATACGTTTCTAAATACACTTTTTGATTGAATAAATCTTAGAAACGTATTAAGGTTTAATCTAGGATTTTAAGGATTTAACTCTTAAGTTACTGGGATTGACTTTTATAATGTTTCGATAAATTTTGATAACGTTATGTTTCTTTCACTTAATGCCAGAGTGCAGCTTCAAATATGCGTTATTGACATTTATAATCTTTTAAAGCAAATTTTATTGACCACATTTTTTAAAAGGATTTTAAACATAGTTATGGAAAGGTTCTCCGTAGTTTTGATGTAAATCAGCATAGAAATGTTAGGCCTGAACACTGGAAAGATACTTCAAGTAAAACTTACCTTATCAAATTTTTGATCATGTGTGTGAAAACAAGCCATCACCTAATAAATAAATAATAATTCCAAAGTCATTAACAGTTAAATTGTAAAAGTAAGTAGACTTCTAAAATTAATTTGAAATACAATTTTTTTCAGATTAAATGAGAAAGCGGAATCTTTTCTAGGGTGAAATTTGCAACAATCTATTTCACTTAAACAAACTGTATTTGAAATCTTTCTTATGATTAAATAACACTTTCAAACTTACAAATATCAATGGTAGTCTAGTCTGTGTGAAAAGAAACTTTAAACCTCTAAACTTCGCTACCCATTTCTTACAATGATTATAGAAATTTGATGGTAAAAATATGTTCACGACTATCAGAGCTTTATTGTAATAAATTTCTTTATTTATTTCAATATGAAGTGTTATGATTGTACGTATCCTTGTAGGGGATTCTGGATTTACATGCAACATGGGTAAAATTTAAGCAAGCTATGATTTATAGTGATGTATTTTAGTAATGATAGAGATGGACGAAAGATAAGATGCTTGTTGTAGATCAATTCGCTCATTTATTTAGTTTTTCTACTCAATCATCAATGCTGATTTTATTCCACTGCACTTCGTATACCTGCTGATCTACAATTTAATCATAATGAATTAAAAAAAAGCAATAATTTTTAAGGCTTTATTTAATTTCAACTATATTTTGCATTATGTTCAAAATCTTCTGTACTATCTTCGACCGGCCTGTGTAAGGGTCAGGGAACTGACCTCGCATCAGAAAGGGTCTGGGTTCGAATCCCAGGCAAGGCATGGATGTTTTTTCATTCTCTGTACTATGTGTCCTTATTGTGGGGCAGCGTTGGCCGACTTAATGGTGCCCCTGAAATGGCACCCTTTGCACCATTAAGCCCTGAATGGTGCCCTTTGCAGACTGGCCAACAATTCTATTCTTCAGAAACCTGTATGACGAAAGGTCCTTCTCCATGTAGGCATTGGAAAAAAAAATCTCCAATTTAAAGTTTGTAAAATATTTATTGTTCGCAAAATTTTTATCTTTATAAGACTCACACATTACCTATCGGGTGGGGGGAGAGTTTGAGATAGGAAATGAATGGAAATAATTAATTTGGATCCAGTTTTTCGAAGGAAAGTTTTGTCAAAATTATTTTGAAATTGTTCTACAGTCAACTATAGATTTTCTGTAGTGTTTTCTTAACTTTAAAAATACAAGTTTCTGTTTCTTCATACTTTTTTCTGTTTGTTACTTGCAAGTATAATAAATTTAATAGACTATTTTGAAATTATTGCACAGTCAACTATAGATTTTCAGTGTTTTCTTACCTGCAAAAAGACGTTTCCTATTTCTTCATTCGTGTTTCTGTTTGTTGCTTGCAAATATAATACAATTTAATAAATTATTTTAAAATTTTTCTACAGTCAACTATAGATTTTCTGTATTGTTTTCTTAACTGTAAACATGCATGTTTCAGTATGTTTATACTTGTTTCTGTTCGTCACTTGCGAGTGTAATAAAATTTATAAATTAAAAACTCTTACTGCATCTACAAGTGAGAGATCTTTGCAGACTGTTTTTACAAATGCAAATAGGTCACCATAAGTCTCAGGTGCAAGTCTTTTGATGCATGTCCTTGCCACTCTCTGATTCTACAAAAATTAAAAAAAGCAAACTTTTAAATTAAAATGTCACAATTAGTTTTCTAGTAATGGGTATTTTGAAAATTAATTATAAAAAAAGGTTAAATGGAATAGCTTTTCAAATTCAAGGAGAATTAATGCGTTAAATAAATAAGATAATTGATTTTTTGCTGCTTGTCCAAGTTTTACCAACATATCAGGAATTGACATTTTGGAATTTTTTTGCGTTTTTTTTGTTTTGTTTTTTGTTATTATTTTTTATAATGTTAGCTTTTTAAAAAAAATTTTAACACTTAGAAAATATAAAAATAATGCATTCATTTTATTTACTTATTCTTTAATTCGCCGATTCTATTTATATCATGTCTTGTTAGTGCCTCCATACGATTAATCATTGATAATAACGTTTGTTATATCAATAGGAAACTATATTAATATTCTTTCAGAATTAAAAGTAAATATTCTTAAACATAACCTTATATAAAATAATAAACTAATTAAATATACTGAAAAAATAAAAATCCTTGTATAAAATGCTTAAAAAAATGAAATGTTTTCGCAGGGAAAATATTATTTGACTAACACTATCAAACGGTGTTGTTGAAAATTAAAATTCTCTATTCCTTAACTTACATAGTTTTGCAAATCTTAAAGCGAAAATTTACTTACAGCATGCTTAATAGATGAAAAATGAATGAGATCAAATAGTCCAAAACCACAGTTGAATAAAATAAAAATATGTTTAAATAACTAATCACATGGTTACAATCATTCTGTATTTGCCTTATTAGTTGCAAGTAAAATATCCAAGCGAAAGCTGAATTCTACAAGCCAATAACCAAAGAAATATTTGTAGTTTCAACTGTTGTTTTTGTCATAGAGAAAAAAAGAAGCATGTTGGGTTTTGGGAGTCACAAAAGAATTATTTTTACGCGAAAAGTATGTTACCGCTTAGTTTGTAGAAGTAAATATTGAAACTTTAATTTGTGAGATTAATATTCACCTACGAAACAACCAAGTTTGATTTGATAGAAACAAATGCATACTGAAACATTTTTTTTTAAATAATCCTTTTCTTGAGAATAATACATCTTAATAAATATTTTTTCTTTAAGAAAATCTTTATTTTTCCCTAAATTTGAAAGAGATAGAGACTATATTTGATTTTACGAAATTCAAAAGAATATTCTAAAGAGCAAGGAGTAAATTTTATATTCAAAATTAAATTTTTAGCGAAAAAGTTCACAAACATTTAAATTTTTTTTTAAAAAAATATATGTACATGTTTATGAAAAGATTAAAATATATGCATTTAGACTTCCATTTCCGAAAATAAAGTTTTTACAATTTTTATTTTTAATGATTGGAGATAATGTTTTGTGCAAGAAATGCACAATTAAAAACAACAACAAACAAACTATATTTTGTGTTAAGAACACAATCTTCTGTGTTTCTTTTGATATCTGCGTAAGAGGTGCAGAATATTGCAAAGAAAACGAAAAAAGCCAGAAAAAATTTCACAAAAGAAGCACGTAAAACATTCAATAAATTAAAACAAATTGTAATTAAAAATAAACCTCTTGTTAAGTTTATAAATAAAAATAGCTCTTTCAGCATGTCAATATTGAAAGACTATTTATCTTCCTTGTAGTTGCAATTTTTCTGACTGCAGAGCTGCTCGCATGGTATTTTTAGCTATAACTTCACCAGTTAATAACTCTCGAATGTCAATTTATTTTATTCCATCGTAATCTTTGCCAATTTTATTAAACATCTTCATACTTTCAAGTTTCTTAGTCTTACAGATTTTACACAAAAAAGAAATTAATTCCCAAAACAGCAGTAGCCGCCGCATTGTTATTGATTATTTATTATAGGGAAATACTATAATCATTAAATATTAAAATTAGAATTTATGCAAACAATGTTATACATTTCAAAGGAAAATTTACAGAAATGTTCATAATTTTAGGAATAAATAAATTATCATAGCAAGCAACGAAATTATGCAAAATTTTTTAATTCTTGTTATGTACAGGTTTTTAAAGGTCCTACCTCTCTTTTCACGAACTTTTACTATGTGCTTGTATCTTTTTCTTAAAAATAAGCAAACAAACATTGTATATGTTTTCGGGATCGATCATGTTATCCGTGCTTTTTTGAAGACGAAATTCTTCAGGGGTTTAATGAGCTTAAAGTTGTTGAGAATAATTTAAATAAAATATTCATTCATCCTATTCATACCTGTTTGTCTTAAAGTCTTTAAACATATGTTAAAATTTTGACTGGTCGAAAGTGTGGAAAATGAAAAAAATATAGCAAAATTAAAATGAATATTAATTTACCATTGTTGATGCAAATTGCTTGTAACACAATGCCAATTCTTTTATTAGGTCATCATTGTTTTCATCTACAGGGAATGAAAAAGAATAAATTAATAAATTCGTTCATCTGATACAATTCTAATTACTCAATTTAGTTAAATATTACATAGACATGCAAATACGTATGAAGGTTGATATGGAAGGAAATAAAGATTCTGAAATACTAATTTAATAAAGGGTATGGAAGGAAATTTTATGCATTAAAATATTAACAAAATGGCAAATAATTGTTTAATTTGTTAATAAAAATGTTATATATATATTTTTATTTTTTAAACCATTTTTCCTACATTGTGTCTTAACTTTTATTAAAACCCTTAGTGCATTCTGAACACTATTTTCATACTATATTTAAAATCATATATTTAAAACAGCTGTGGTGACGTCGGAGGCCCTTATAATTTTTTCAATACAGAGAAAAATTAAGATAAAGAAGTCTTGGTTTAAAAGCATTAAATAACTATTAAAATCTGATTTATGTGAAAAATATGGAACTTTTCAGGAAATTTTAGGAAAACAATTTTTTTAAAACAGAGGTAGTTTGTAGTTTATATCAGTGAGTAGTTTGTAAATATCAGTATCTTATTCTTTATTTGCTTCGTACTTAAAATGCACTTTTCGTATTTGCACAGCTGAAAATAAATAGTGCTGCATCATTTGCACAATGACCTACCGAATCTTTTGTCTTGACAGCTAACTTTATAACTTAACTTATAGCTTAACTTAAAAGTTTAACAGTTTACTTAACTTATAGCTTAAATTAAAAGTTTTTAAAATGCTTATTAGAGAAAATTATAAAAAATATTATGGAAATTATTATAGAAAATTAAATTAATTGAAAGTAATACAGCTCATAAAACTGTTAGATAATTACATGAATTTCGTTGAATTGCTACAAACAAACAAACAATAAATAAATAAATAAAATATTACTTTTTCAATAACAATTGAGTTACAATTTTAATTTCCAAAAGTCAGACATAGTTATTTTTTTAATTAAAAGCTTTAAGCATTACCCCTCTAAAATTGAATTGAGAAACGAAAAAGAGTTGTCAATATGTTGAAAACCTTAAAAATGAGGCATTGAAAATGAGGCATGAAATTGAAAATTGAATTTTATTAATTACACATCTTTTGTAAAAGAATTTACATGAGCTGTTAATGCTTCGGAGAAAAATAAGAGTTTATTATTTAACATTCATTTGAATTTATTATTTCTTTGAATTTGGTAGTCTGATGATAAAGTAATCAAATATATACTAATAAAATACAGAAAATTATTTTGAGTATTATTTAAACAAAATAATTTTCGTACAATTGTATTTAAATTATCTAAGCATTATTGGTATATATTGTCTTTCTTTACAAAAGATGTATACAGTAATAATGTAATCTTAAATTCAAAATATAAATTATTTAAATAGATATTTACCGCATAACTTCTGTACCCTTAATTTGATTTTGTCAATAGGCATAGGTTCAGCAGTTATGAAGATTGCTAAGGATAAGACGCAAATTGTGATGGTTAATCGTAGACTCACCATGTTTGAAATTATCAGGAAAAATATCTAAAAAAATAGCTATAATTAATGACTGTTTTTTAAAAAATGTTTTTACACACTGCTGTGTAAAATTATTGATGCTTATTGATGTTGATTTATTGACGCTTATTCTTTTTCTTCCCGTACAAAGAACGGGTATTTAGCTTGTAATAAATAATATTATTTTTGTAATGAAAATTAAATAAATATATTTAAATTGGCGTGATCAATTCATAATTTTTTTCCTCATATCATCAAAAGTATATATGTTACGTGTATCAAAAAGAAATAAAGATTATGTTATTTAATCCGAGGTAAAATTTGATTTTAACAGAAATATTTAAATTACAGTTCAAATTTAGCATTTCTTAATTTCTAATCAACTTTATTTTGGTTATAACGGCTTTTGTTTACAGCCTACCCAATTCTGAGTTTATGGCCTTCAATGTTCAACTCCGTAATCTTATAATCTTGAACCCAACCCAGAAGACAAAAAAATTCCTTGATCCAGCATTGGGACAAACTAGCCTTTGTGGAGGATATTTTAATAGAGCTAACCAGCATGTGCGTTACATGGAGAGGAAAACTAAGAAAATCACTCATTGTTAGCTCAACGGCAAGGGGTCTCCAACCCATGACCTGTCTACTACTGACGATATTTTACGTTAGGACTGTGGTCAGTGCGAACCGGGAGGGGAATTCGGAGCGACTGGCCATCGTCAGAGTTTGAACTTGGGTTATCTCAATGGTAGGCAAGTGCTCCATCCCCATAGCCAACGCGGTTATAATAATCAACATTATCATGGCATTTTAATTTTTCCTAAGATTATATAATAAAAAATATTTTCAAGAATAAATAACTCACGTTCTTATAACGATCTCTCTGTCATCTAGAGATCTATCTAGTCTGATGAGAGTATATCTCAGAATATTTTGCTAGAATATAAAAACTTCACGATCCCGTTGACTCAAAGCTGATTAATTTTCTGCATGGTAATAATTTTGCCTTATCTTTGCTCTTCCAAGTTGTTTCCAATCTTGTAAAATAGACAAAAAACTCAAATGAGTTAATTTGCGTTACTCTTTGACTTGCTCACAATTGAGCAAACGTACTAGATTGAAAAAGCATTCAAAAATTCATATTACAATTCTGTGATCTCTACAGAAATGTTCCTCAAACTTTAATGTAAGACAGAAATTTAAACTAAAATCTTTTATTGGTTTTAGGTTCAAAATTTAATGACAGGGATTGGAAAATATGTTTCGATAATGCGATTGAATTAAGACTTATAAACTAATTCATGCTCAAAAATTTCGTTTCTGATAATACAATACAGTATTGAAAGTTACAAATGGTAACATGCGTTTGTAGATTATTGCACAAGTACACACAGAAAATTTTATTTCAATATACAACATACCTGAATATTTTATTGAGTTCATAAGATAATCTCCGTCAAACCTCATGTCCCTTTTATGTCAGAGCTTTGAGCTTAAACTTTGGCTTTATCTTTGCAAAGTTTGCTTAATAGACAAAATAAATAAAACCATATGTTTATTTTTTTTTTATGAAGATTTACATTAACAAGCGTAAAAAATGAAAACTGTGGAATCTTTTTTTTTCTAAAATAGGTTATTTCAAAAGGTAGGTGAGGATTTTCCCACGCTTATTTGTGTTTTTTTGTCCAATTTCCGAAGTAAAAAATGTGTCATCATTTAGAACTAGGCAAATATATTTGCTATCAAGTTTTTCTTTCAATGAAATATAATTTCTTTTAACATATGGGAGAGAACAAGATACATTTTAAAGTCTAATTTTTTAACATTGATTTTCAGTTTTTAATCTTTTAAAACCTGACTTTTAAATAAACGTAGTTTCCAAAAACGTATGGTGTTAAATATTCGTAATTTTATATTAAAATTTTTTTTTTGCGGAATTCGAACAAAAGTTATCGAGGGTTATATATTTTTTCTTCTTGTACCTACTTTCTCAGAAAAATTTATGTCACGTTGAACTACTCGTTTTAGAAAAATATGTAACTTTTGAACGATAATTCTATACTTCTGACCTTTTGGAAAGTTTTATAACACAAATATCCAACGAAGATCTCGTATATTACCCAAAATGTGAAGAAACACTATAAAATTTTCTTAAATGTCAATAAGTTTCTGGTCATTTACACCCTCAGTGGCTTCTCGTTGTTTTTCTTTTTTTTAAATATAAATAGTTCCAAAACAATCAAAACAAACAATTCGTTTTCACAGTAAATACTTGTAGTGCTATACAAGAGCGTTTCGACAATATTTAAATACAAAGTAATTAAAATTTACTTAAAATTTAATAATAATCTTCCGTACTTTAAAAAAATTAGCGTAAGAAATACAAATTATGAAACTCAAGAAATAAATGAGAAATTTTACTCATTATCAAGACTTAACTGCTCAAATAAGGAGCGTTTTTAAAATTATAAATAAATGTTAAGATTTATATCCAATTAGATCTTTTTATTACTGCTGACTTAAACTCCAGCGAGAGTTTTGAATTTTGAAAGGAGAGTTGAAATTTTGAAAGGAGAACAAAATTTTCAATATATTTAAGGATGCTCAATGTTTAACGCAAGAAAATTTGAGAAAAAATTCACGAAAAAAAGCACTTAAAATTATAACTTCGGAACAAATTTCAGCTTACAGAAAAAAAAATACTCGTGTTAACAATAACAAATTGTCATTTTCCACTCCGGTGCATTTCAGCGGGCAGCAGTAAAAAATATTCGCCAGGTATTTTTTTACTACACGTTTAACAGTCAAAAATTCTCGAACGTTCTATTTGTCTATTCCATCGCACTCCCTATGAATTTTCTACCCACTTACTTTAGTTAATAGTTAAAGTTAATAGTTTTTGTGCAGGAAACAAAATGTAAATTTGGTTGATTACTCAAAACACCGGTGATGATTACAGTTTTTGTACTTAGAGAAAATTAAAAACTAAATTTAATAAATTGAAGTTTATTTTTTACATAAAATAACTGAAAATTTTCTAAGCTGCATATTTCTAAATTAAAATCTTACTTTATACATTGAAGCTAGTGTACAATTAGGTTAAATATTTTCTTAGTTATTTAAAGCTATATACGGTTATCTAAATCTATGAAACTGGTTAAATAGCTAAATTGAAGCATATTTTTTCCTACTTAAATTGAATGGATATAATTTTCTTTTGAATTTCTAAAATTGAACAATTTTATGAATATTTTCAAGATGAACATTGTATAATATTTTGTCAATGACATATCAGGTCTGGTGATTTGCAATGAAATATAGCGCAATGCATACAGTTTAATAATAGTGGTCGTAGTAATGTACAAAGTTCATGCAATGTTACTTTGTTAATGAACTTAGTTTTTGCTGAACACTACAAGTTATTTTCTAAGAGACTACAAATATTAGAAAACGTAAAATTTTTAGAATCATAACCGGTTTATAATATAAAAAGTAAGTTTGTTCCGTAAAAGGTTTAGGCAAGTCTTTTACAAAAATGCAAAAATGTTTTTATTCCCATTTAAAAGTATCTAATCTCGGGTAAAATAAGTTAAATGACCTGAAGCTCATTAAAATTAAAGGCTCACGGTTATCTAAAGCCATGTCAATGTTAGTTTAAGAAAACTGTCTGCTTTTTCATTATTTGTATTCTTAAAATAAAGTCTCGAAAGAGACAATATATCAATACTAAAATTATAATTTTTGTAATTGGCTCATATATGTACGCACGTTATGTGGAAGTATGCAAAGCAATTACAGTTTCAGGCTGAATAAGATTCAAAAATAGGCTCCTCTTCCTTAGTAGTTAACGAGAATCGACTACTAAGAGATGAGCTTTTTTTTAAAATAAAACAATTTTAGTCATTGAATCTTGTTAAATTTTATGATTAATATTATTGTTAAATTTTATTAAATTCTCCGTATTCAAAAACTGCCGCCTTTGTTTTTAATTTAATGTTACATCTTGTTTTGATGCACGATGACTGTTTAATTTAAATAGTGTAGGAAAGTAAGGTGAAATACAAAAAATATATCTCTGAAATTATTTACTGTTAAATTTAAGTGGAAAATGTCATGTTGACCACTAGGAAGCCCATAGAAAGGATACCTCGGAGTTGAAATTTGACGCACTGAAAGGGCCATATTTATTTATGATCTTAATAGGTGTTTTTAAAAAAATTCAATTTTGTTCGAAAATTGCTACAATTTTAAATTTTGTTTTTGCGAAGTTTTCTTTTTGTTTACTTCAAGTCTGATAATTTTTGTGCAGCGAAAAAAAATTTAAATTTAAAATTACGCTGTTGCATAAAAATGTACAAGGAGTGCGACGGATTAAACAAATAGAACAATCGATAATTAGTTCGAGAATTATTAGCTGTTATACTTGTTTTTAAAATACCATGCAAGCAAAACTGCTGCCCGTTGAAAAGTTGAACAGAGTTAAAATGAAAAAACCATTTTTAATGCTTTTTTCGAAACAGAAATTTGTCTGAAATTTCTAATTTCAAGTCCTTTTATTCCTGAATTTTTCTTCATATTATTTTGTTTTGAATATTGGCCATCTTGAAATATATTGAAAATTTTGTTTACCTCTTAAGATTGTTATTTTATAAACTTGAGTTTATGTTGAAAGTAACAAAAAAAAAAAAAAAAAAAAAAAAAAAAAAAAAAAGAGAATAGATGTTGTCAGATATAAATTGTAACCTTTATATATAGGTTTCAAAACAGTTTTTTTAAAATTTAAACTCTTAAGTGTCGTCAACGAGTAAATTTATTTCTCATTTATTTCTTGACTCTTAGAATTTATATTCCTAAATTGTTTAAATTGTAGAACATTATTATTCAAAAACAAGTAAATTTTTATTTCGTTGCTTTAAATATTGACAAAATGTTCTTATAGAAATTTAAGTACTTATTTTGTAATGGAAGATGTAAAATGTTCCTTGCTTTGAATTTTTTGAAACTATTAACCTTTAAGGGGAAAAATGAATGAAAAACAATTACGGGGGTTGACGAGTGGATGAAACTTAGAACAAAAACTTCTAATTACGTAAAGGAAATTATCAATGATTATAATGTTAATTTTTAGCATTTTATACAGGGGATGGACAAAATAATGGAAACAATTCTGTAGTAATATATTTTTCATTTTTCTGTAGAAATACTAAAATAATCATTTTATAACTTCAGAAGTGTTTACATAATTTAATTTCTCATACATATATATGAAGTTTAAAGCTTTTAGAGATTTGAGGGACCAAAATTAATTACGAAAGAAAAATATTGTTTTTGAATACCATATGCCAAAAAATGTAGCTAAAAGTTTAAGTTGTAATAATTATTTTGAATACTGTATGCAATATATACTCAAAATTTCGTAAGCCTAGCTTAAGTATTTATGAAAATGTGGAAATTTTTCATGAAAAACTATTTTTTTGTCTTACGCTTGTTTCTTTGACATAACTTTAAGAATATTCAGTAAAATTAAGCAACATTTTTAGAGCAGTTTAAAATCAATTACGAAATAATTTGCTTAAAAATTAAAAAAAAATTCGTTGCAAACTGTGCAATATATAAGTAATGAAAGCAGTTCTTTCAAACTGCTCATACACTCAAATATAAATTTTTTTCTCCTAATTTTGTAATTAATCGTATTTGACAACTAATGAAGAAAGTCTGATTTGAATATCTTAAGTTTCAGGATATTTTCTAAGAGGTTTTTGTACTTTAAAAAAAAACCCAAATTAATAATTTTTTTTTTTACAAATATCATAAAACAAAATTAAATAACAAATGATAATATCTAGAAATAAATGTTCAAATACCGAAATATGATAGTATAAGGAAGGAAAAGATACTTTAATTGGGGATGATCCCCAACGATGCCGATGTCATTTTTTATAAATCTTGTTTAATAGGAGAAAATAAAATTTGTGGAAAATCCATTAATATTTTTAGTATTCTTTTAAAAAATAAGAAAACTACTTGAAAATTGCTTGAAACTTTTAAAAGTTTTGAGATATTTAAATAGGACTTTTTTTATTTGTAGCCAAATACGATTCACTACAAAATTTAGAAAAAACAAATTTAAATCTTTCCCACGCTAAGAACTACTTCAAATACTCATTTCTTGCGCAGTTTTAAACAACTTTTTCTCAAATTTTAAAGCAAATAAGTTTGTAATTTTGAAATGAACCAAAAATTTCGTTTAATTTTATTCAATATTTCTAAAGTTAACGCAAAAAACGAAAGACAAAAAAAAAAAAAATATTTTCTTAAAAAAAATGTCCTTATCTCTATAAATTTCAGGTTTGCGAAATTTTGTGCAATATTTGCAAACAATAAGTAGATAAGCAGTTTAAAATCAAACCAGTCAATTCATTAATGTTAAAATTTATACTTACAATACGATATGGTACACACAAAAGTCAATAAACATACTTTTATATATAAAGCCAGAATCATAAATTAAGATGCATACATACAATTTTTCGTAAAATAAAATTTGTAATTCAATCAAAAACAAAACTAATTTTAACTAACTATTTGAATATAAATAAGTTAGTTCAAAAATACCCCACCGTTTCGTTGAACAAAATTTGTTAAGCTTAAAAAGTTTTATAAGTTCTTCATACTTATTCAGAAAATTCACAGTTTTGTTCTTTATGAGTTTAAAAAAAAGTATAAGTCTTAATATTTTAAATTAGGCTTAGTTAATTTTAAGTATAAAAATAAGAATTTTTTCAAAAAATTGAATAAATATGCTCCTTTCTCTCTTACATTTTAAGAATCCTTGGAAGAAAAAAAGTTTATTTGTCTAAGAAGTGAAGGGATTTAATTATCGACTATGTCAACCTTCATCTATCAAAAGGTACCTCGTGATGGAATCAAGTTAACATGTCTTATATACTAGCGAATTGGTATTTTTTAATATTTGTAGTGGTAGTTACGCCACTATTAATTCTCTCACAGATAAAATTCTGGAAGGGGAGTAATGTGGCGTAACTACCACTATAAATATTAAATACGAATTCACTAGTATATAAAACATGTTAACTTGATTCTATCTTGAGGTACCTTTTGATAGATGAAGGTTGACATAGTCTATAATTAATTCCCCACATTTGTGGATCATCCATCAATATTGGAAAGTTCTTATCACTCCCGGGTCACCAATGAAGGGATTTAATTATCGACTATGTCAACCTTCAGCTATCAAAAGGTACCTCCACCATAGGTATCTTTTGATATATGAAGGTTGACACAATCAAAAATTAAATCCCCACAGAAGCACTCACTAGTTGTTTCTCTCTCTCAATAAAACTTCACTCATTCTGAACTACATTCTCAAAACCCAATCCTATGATTAGACTTTCAACTACATAGGGCGATGGAAGTTCATTTAGTATCTTGAGTTTGGATATGTCTTTTATGTTCCTTAAATTAAATTTTATGGGTGCGCTCACTTCGCCTAATATCTGCCGGGATAGCTTGGTTGGTAGGCTACTGGGTCCACGTCCAAGAGGTCGTGGGTTAGATCCCATGCAAGACTTCTCGTGCAGTAAATGGTTAGATCCCACTCCGGCCGAAGACTTCTTGTGTAGTAAATGGTGACTGATTCACGTTAAATCTGTTGAGACAAAGCCCTCCAAGTTTCCATAACAATTCATGCCTCTGGGGGTACTGATTCAGGAGTTTCCTCATCTTCTGGATCGGTTCAAAATTACAGGGCTACGGAGTTGAACATTAGTAGTCGTAAACTCAAAATTTTGCGTCGGATGTACAACGACGGTAATAAAATAAAATAAAATAAAATCTGTGCATGAGAACCGTGGTCGCTCAGGGGATAGAGCGTTCACCTTCCAATGAAGAGAATCGGGTTCGAATCCCAGCTATGACTGATCGATACGAATTCTACACCCTACTTGCATGGACCACAGTGCTCACGCAAAATATCCTCAGTGGTTGACGGATCATGAGTTACAGCCCCCTTGCCATCGGGTTAACCGTCGGAGGTTTTCGTGGTTTTCCACTCCATGCAACGCAAATCAGACTAGTTCCATATACTAAGTTCCATATACTATAAGAGTCCCAATACTACGGAAATGAACATTGGTAGTTGGAAACTCAAAATTGGATCGGCTGTTCAGCAACGTTATAAAATGAAATAAAATATGTGCATGAGGTGTAAAATATCTTCGGTGCTATACGAATCATGGGTTGGAACCCCCTTATCGTCGGACTCAGCATATGAGGTTTCCGTGGTTTTTCTCTCCAAGTACCGTAAATACGGGATAGTTCTATTAAAAAGTTTTCCACAATGACTAGTTTGTCCCAATGTTGGATCCAGGTTTTCCCTCATTTACTGGTGGGTTGGATTTAAAATTACGAGGTTAAAGAGTTTAACACTGATAGCCGTAAATCCAAAAATGGGTCTGCTGTTCCGGGCCGGTTTTATAAAAAATAAATATGCGCATGGCTTCGACTTTCACGAACTTCAAGGGATATTTAGGGTGATTTTCCATCACCCTGTATCGGTGGAATTCTAACAGTAGGTTCCCAAGTTTCTTCAACTAAAATCATTAAAGATCGCTCTTTAGCTACTAACCTTGATTTTTGGGAATAACTTTAAATTTTGAAAAGCTCAAATGATTTAGTTTAGGACCTTTCAAGTAATTATTCTTTCGTAATATTAGGAAATCAATTTTAGTGTAATTTTTACATTTTGTACCCCTCCACATACCTGTTTTTTTTTATATATCTACATTTACTATCTTAAATAAGCATATTCCTTCTTTTATTTCCTTAAATACTTTGCATCATGATTGTTCTGATGTTTGATTTGTACTTTCCACAGTCATTTTGTGTTCCGACGCATCACGGAAGGAGGTCGCTGTGTATAGAACGAAAAGTATAGTTTTTCTGCTATAATCCCCTGTATTCTTTTGTTTTGGAATTATAATTTTCTACTTATAGCTTTGTTTCCTGTTTATACAGAAGTAAAATGTTATAAATCGTTATAAGAACACCACAACATAAGTAATACAAAATATGGAAAATTATGGTTTATTTTATAGAATACGATGCAGTAATATAGCTCATCTGTTATACAATGTATAGCTCATCAGTACAACTCTCAGTTATAACACGATATTGGTTTTTTTAAATGAATGTTTAACATAAGTAAGAGCTGGATCGCTTGAAGATTCGGTTCTTTTTTTCATGTTAATCACCAATTAGGTCCATGTAATCATTTTTCATAAAAGCTGTGAAAATGCATGCCTGTAACACAAAATGATAGTGAGAATGAAATATTTATTAAGTTAATTTTACAAAATATTAAAATATCATAAAACGTAGAAATTTTTTCAAAATTTTTTATTAAGAAAATCAAATTTGGTCATTTGATGATAAAATAATTATAGAGCAAGTATTTTCTAATGATCGGATTTTCGCGTACTATGAATTAAAGGTCTTTTGAGCAATGTGACCTCACGGGGTGGAAGATACTAAGAACATAGGTAGGTGCCATTGTTATTATAAATAGCTACAGTTAAATCGTTCACAATAGCAATTGCACTTAATATAAATTATTGCTTGGTTTTTGCAAATAAATACATTGTCTGCACCTGAAAACTTCTAGCATAGGTAAAATGGTCCATATAATCCTAGCATAGGAAGCAATGTCCCATTTTTCCTTACTACCAAACACGCTATCTCTTCCATTTGAGCAGAAGAGATTGCTTTAAACATGTCCGTCTCCAGAAAGAACCATCGAGTTATGCAATTGTTTGCCATGGTCCGTAATCGTGACTAACAGTTATTTAACAGAACTATTCTGTATGCAGTTAGTTAACAGAAATAGTTTAATTTGAAACATTTTATATTATTGATATACACCAAAGAGCCATTACATTATGCTAATAGCACCCTGTCATTATGCTAATAGCACCCTGCTAATAGCACGTAGGACTACCTTTAGCCCTCAAAACTGCTAGCACCCGCCGTGGCATTGATTCCACAAGGTGCTGATAGATAGTCTGAGGTATCTGGTACCAAGCGTTCACCAACTGGTCCAGCAATTCCCTCACATTGCGAGGGGGGTAGCGTGGCAGCACGAATTTGGTTTTCCAAATAGGGCCACAAATGCTCTATTGGATTAAGGTCAGGTGAATTTGGGGGCCAAGACATGACTTGAAAGTCACTGGAATATTCCTCGAACCAATCCATGACAATTCGACCCTTATGCATGGTGCATTATCCTGTTGGTAAACACCTTCCCCCGCAGGAAAAACTGTTGCCATGAATGGATGAACCTGGTCTGCAACTATGTTCAAGTAGCTCACAGGCGTCAGGAATTGTTCTATGAGGATTATGGGTCCTAATGTGCCCGATTAAAACATTGATCCTGGGCCAGTAACCATGAAAACCTGAGCGAACCCATTGTTATAGATGGAGGGTGGTCATAATGTAACAGTTCTTCGGCGTACATAGAAAATTAAACAGATGAGCTATGAAAGTTCAAGTTCTTGATTTTGAAAAATAGTAGCTAGGTCTTATACTTGACGCTTATGGGAATCGGCTTGATCATCTATGCATTCACTAGAGATCTGATTGGAATTCCAGTGAGCGTATTACGCTTTGCTCTCTGCTTCTTGATCTTTCTTGCGCTTTTGCACGCCAAACACGCAATAACTCCTAATTTTAACTTATGTATTCTTAGTAGAGTGTTGTCCTTTTTTCATAATCATTCAGTAGAATTTATCTTCTGATCAAATTCTTTATAAATATAATTTTTTCAGTACAAATTCACAGTACTTACTGCCGCTTTTCCCATGTCCTTCATCTGAAATATATAAAAAAAAGTTCAAATTATATTATAATACATTGATTAAAAATAGAGTGAAGTAAAAAAAATTATAAGTAATTATTATAAGGGTTGACAATTTTACTTAATATTTTAACAATAAACTTATGTATTTTAGGTAGAATTTGGCTTATAAGGGAGTAATAATCCCTCAAAATTTATTTTTACGTTTAGGCAAATTGGCAAAACTGAGTTACACTTTCATTTGCAGTCGAATAACAATAGTTGTTTTGAAATAAGATAAATAAAGAAAACAAGACTTTTGGGATGGATAAGCAAATTTTTAATTTTTTAAATTACAAATACAGAAAAACACATCTTTCATTAAGTTATCTTTAAATTCGACACAATTCTCACACATGCATTTTAAAAACGCTTGCAAAACTAAAATAATAGTAGATCAAGTTTAATTTGATTTCTTATTGTTTCCGATAGCAAATATGTGTGTTATTAATTGTAATAATTAGGTTTAATATTTTTGCGCAGAATTTTTATAGTAATAAAAAAAAATTTCGAACAAGTTCTAGTAAAATGTAGGGATATTAAAAGTTGATAAAAAAATAGTAAAGTTTAGTGTTATAATTAAGATGTATAGAATCTTCTTAATATTAAATAATACTTACTTCAGTAGAATCTTGGTTATGCTTTTTGAAGCATTTTACCATCTAAAATATAAGAAAAAACTTTTTAATAAAAAAATATGATAGCTTCCGTTCAATATTAAGCAATTGTCAGATAATGAAAATATATACAGACACGGTAAATGTACAGGCATAGTGCTCAAAATAAAGAAGAGAACATGAAAATAACTTTTAAACTAATGACCAGATTTCAATGTACTAGGAGTATAAATTAATGGTTCGATGGTCTAATTTTAAATATAATAATTAATTATTGTGGATGATATTTTAAGTTAGGAACTCAGACACGAAAATGTACTTTCTGTGAATAAAATACATTTCCTTCGATGGATTTGAATTTGGAACTCTTAAAATAGCTGCAAATAAGAAAATATAGTTCGGTTAGATTGGTCGAAAGTTTTGTTCCTTTGGTATTAATTTTATTCTTTGCATATTTGGCCATATATTTCTAACTGTTTAAGCGAAACATAAAATTTTTGAACATAATTGTAAAATGCATTCATCGAATGATAATTTCTAAAAGAAAAATTTTTCTCACTATATATTTATTATTATTTAATTTACTAATGGTCGAAAATTTTCTGAATTTTTAAGTGTACAAACTTTATTCTGCTTAATATTAAATGACAAAATCCTGTATTTTAATGGAATCAGTCAAATAGTCCTCGACAAATAAAAATTTAGATGTAGCGAAATGCGCAGAGAAGGAAAATACAAAATACACAGTGAAATTGACATTAAGACGTACGAATATTCAACAACTCTCTTGACCGAGCTATTTCGACCATATTTTTCCTATAACAGCAATCCTGCATATTTTGAGGGTCCAGAATTCTAATCCATTGTAAAAAATTTATCGATTTTCTTACAATAAATATCGTTTGCACTAGTTCTACACTAGTTTAGCAAGTTCAGGCCCTTGAACCATTAAGATCACATCTTAGTACGTTAAAATCTAATTTAAAAATCAAACTTTATTGAGGTGTTCTTTTTTGTTTTGCGCATTGTACTATCTATTTAAAAAACCATAGGATCACTAACAAATTGGTAGAATTTTAAAGAAGGAAATATTTTTAGCATATGTGTCGTTGGCAAATGTCGGAAAATACCTTTATACTAGCTTAATTGTTAAATACTGATTTAAATTTTATCATCATTTATGCGTTTTCTAAACACTGATAAAAGTATTGTGTTCCATATGAAAATTACTTGCAAAATTTTGCATATTATACACAACATCAGAATCGATATAAAGCCCCAATGAAAAACTAAATGTTTGGACTTATCAAGGAAACAATACCCGAATTATTAAATAAAATAAAGATGTTAAAATAATTCTTCAACTGCGTATTTTTATTATTATTGTTACATTTTTATTATAATATTATTGAAACCGAATTATAATCAAAAGCATTCCCACAGCAATCAATTGCGGGGGCAGGGAGGTGATGTCTGTTAAGGCTTTAAGACTTAATGAGAGCAAAAGTTTTAAATCATTACGGAGCATTATGAGAGCGAACATTTTCAAGGTAGTAAATCGTAAAGAGTATTTTTCTTTTCCTTAAAAAATTTAAAAATATGTAATTTGTTTATATATTTTTTTAAAAAAATAATCACATAATAATCATACAGTAATAATAAGTAATCACATAGTTTATATATTTCTTATATTTTGTTTTGTTTTCTTTCCTTCACAGAAAAAAATTCTTTTTTTAAGTTAGATTATGATTACATTAAAATAAGCTTTAAATATTCTGAAACGAAATACATTTTTCTATTTTTAATTTAAAAAGAAGTTAATTTATTTAAGAAAAAACAACTTATTTTTTATAATTTAATGTATAATTTATCAACGTTGCATGACGAAGTATTTAATCACATTTTATATTTTGAAACAGAAATTATTCACATTTTTTTTCACAAAAAAATAATAATAAAAGTTAAAATGCAAACTACTCGTGCGGGAAAGAAAGATGCCTTGACAGGTGTGACCGAGAAATTAAGTCTGAGTACTATAACGTATGATTACTCTGGTAGCAATCGTTATCAATTGGTTCTATTTCTGTAGTTTATTTATTTTAATTCAAATATTACATCGGTAAAAATAGATAATAAGTAAAAATGACACTGCGTGCAATGACCTTAACAATTTACATTACAAAAGCACAAGCATATTGGCTTATTTAATTCATCTTTTTTGATCCTATAAATTTTTTATATTTGCTTATTTCTTTGTTCTTATTCATGCACAAGCACGCGTGCATGCGGAAAAAACAAAATTAAAGACCTTATCTTGTCAACTTTCTGGAAAAACTCTGCTTATAGAGCGCATCATTTAATGTTTTCGAAGTTTTAATCCATTCATGTATGCATTAATAGTTTTCTTATTATATGTTTAGAAAATAATTATCTCCAGAATATGTATACTTTTAACGAAATAAATGAAGTTTTTAAAATTTAACTGTTGTTTTTCCTCACGCTTGATTGATAATTATAATCAAACTGCAAGACTTCAGTTAAAACAGTTAAAGAGAAAGATTATATCTCGGTGATTAAAAATGATTTTATAAGTTATTTCGAATGATTAGTACTTGTGAACCAATAATGATGTAAAAGCACAATTTTTAATTTAAAATTCTCACTGAATCTATAACAGAAAGGTCTTGGCAGACTTTCTTTGACAACTTAAAAGTATCTCCATTCGTTTCAGGGGCAATTTCAGCACCGCACAACTTCCCCACTCTCTTATTCTGTAAAAATATACAAAGTGTTAAAACATACTAAATGTTAAATACTTTTATAATTTTTAATGCATTAGAAAAGTTCTATAAATACAGCAAAATTAAAGTTATCTGAGAAGCTGTGATAGGTAGGTACCTTGCTAAAAAATATCAATATCAATTATTCTTCATTAGAAAGAATATTAAATGAATAATCCCACGAAATTGAAGAGCAAAGATGTACTTTATTTATTTGTTTTGAAAACTTATATAAAGTAGTAAAATTAGACATGTTTCGAGCTCTCAAAAACAGGCTTCCATTTTCAAGACTTGCTAGACGTGAATTGTGAATTTCAAAGAGGTTTAAAACCGAAGTTAGGTTAGGTAGAAACAATGGGGATTAAATATAGGCAAATATTATATATAAGTATGTATTATAATAGACAAGGTACCCTTATTTATTTTTCGTAAGAATAGTCGACTATTTTTGAGCATCCATATATATAAATATANTAGATATATAGCTATATATATATATATATATATCTAATTGTTGAAAATATTATAAAAATGTGAAGTCCTATCCTGTAAAAAATTAAGCATTAACTTGCTTTTTCTTACGCACTTAACCTGTTTTAAAAATTACACACAGGCAAAAAATTCAGCATTAAAACGAATTTTTTATGAAATAAATTCCAATAACTTCATCTTATTATTTCAGCAAGAAAATTTGGATTGGATTCTTTTTGTGTCAAAAATAAACTAACCTCATCTGTTGCAAATATCTCGTGGCATTTGGCTAAGTCTTTCAGAAGATTGTCATCGTTTTTATCTACACAGAAAAAAATAAATGATAGTTACTTTTTTTAACACAGTGAAAGTGTCTAACTTCATAACTTATAATGTTCCAATAAATGTTTACCACATATCTTCTGTATTAATCCTTTGTTTACAGGTGCAGCTATTAGGGTACATGCTAAGGACAATGTGCAAACTGCAACAGCGATCCAAGGATTTGCCATTTTTACAACTAAATTAGAAGTAGAATAGTTTTGTGTCATATGTATTAGTGGTACAAATATGTCCAGTTCACAAGAAATGAAATTCAAATGAGATAAAACAGAAAAAAAATCACGAGTAAATTCCGAAATATTTCTAATTATTGCAACTTTTAAGCAAAAGAAATTCTTAGTTTTGAGAAAAGAAGATCAGATAATACTAGCATTAATTTGGCACCTTGAAAATATTCACTCAGTAAATAAATTTCTTTTAGTTTTATTATAAAATGAAGAAAGTGCTTCAAATTTAAAGATACGTAGAATGCGGAGTGGAAGATGACAAACTATTTTTTGTATTCAAAATGATTAATATAGGGCTTAAATTATGTATAAATGTTACCACTGTAAGTTATGCATCATTTTATAGTTTTATATTAAAAATTTATAGTTTTTAAAATATACATAAGAAAAAAAGGAGATTTTTTAAATAATTATCTAAAAATTTTTTATGAGAAATATTTAAAGCAAATATTATTTAAACATTTATCTATAAATTGTTAACAGAGGTTAATATAACATTCGGTAAAAAATCGTATGTCGATATTTGAAATAGATTTTGAGAAATCTTGGAGACAAAAATGACACAATTTGATTTTTTTTAAACTTTTTTAGGTTGTGAAAATATGTTTACTTTTCATAATTTACAGGATTTTAAAGCATTTTTTGTAATATGTATTTTCCATAGGGCAAAACTTAGAATTCCACTTGATTCTGTTAAGAACTTGTTGGAATGTTATTTGCTTAAGCGATAAGCAAATTTTAGATCAATGTTTAAGATTTGTCTTGGAAATAGAGTTATCAAATAGGAACTTTTCAAAATTCTGGAGGAAAAATATTCAAAATATTTCTAACTGGCTATGAATGAAAGCCGTTGCAGAACTCCGCCTTGGTACTGGCCATGAATGCCTTTAACCAGAAGCAAAATGGTCATGATCAGAATTTACACCTCACGATAATAAATATTCAAAACTAATAATGATATTAATAATTTGAAAAATAGCAAGGGTACGTAGTTGAACATAGGTAGTCGTAAACTCAAAATTTGATCTGCTATTTGATAACGGATATAAAATATTAAAAAAAAAATTTAAAAATATTCAAAATATTTCCAACAGGCCTTGAATGAAAGCCGTAGCAGAATTCCGCCCTCCTACTGCCCATGAATACATTCACCTGAAGCAAACCACGTTCATAATCAGAATTTATTTACAGCTCACGATGATTTATATTCAAAACTAATAATAGTTTGAAAAATATTCAAAATATTTCCAACTGCCCTTGAACGAAACCCATAGAAGAACTCCGCCTTGCTATTGGTCATGAGTGCCTTGACAAGTAGCAAAATGGTCTTTACGAGCATTTACACATGATAAATGAACTCGATGATCTATGCTGTTCACACGGAACTTTTAGTTCACTTGCGCGTTGCACTGTTTACTCAAAGAGTTTGTGAGAAGCTTGGAAGTAAATGATTCCATAGATTTTTTTGTATCACTTTCTTAATTATTCTTCAGTTTTCATGTTGTTTATTTTAGTGTCGGAATTGTCTTTTGTCCCACCATTGGAAATAATAAAAACAATTTTAAAGCGAATTCTTACGGTAAGTATTAATTTACAGAAAAAAAGTACCGACATCGTACTAGACCCAAAGTTTTGTCGTAAAATTTCAAGACATTTTTATAACCTCCTTATTGCATTTTCTGACACTTTTTATTTAAATAATTATACATTTATATCTTATTGGAAAAGTGTCCTTTTCATACCAGCCTCATCCACACAGAAGATAAATTTTAGATAGAAATGGAAGAATTAAAGTACCTCGCTCTTATTTGCATTTGTTTTGGAATGTTTCATAGGCCAAACGAGATTACAGTCAACAAAATACAGCATGTACTTTATATTCTGCTTATTGTTGTAAAGGCTCTTTTCAACATTATTCTTTGTGTTCTGTAGATGGATTTATTTATCTGTTCACATATTGTTTTATTTATTCTACACTATCTAAGATAATTGCTTACAAAAATAATGATTCTCCAGTTTTCACATTGTTCTCAAGTGGATATTTAAGAAAAAACGAATTTTTTCACCACCGTAATTTACCGTATTTTCAGTTACAGGCCAGTTTTTCCCATCATAGATGATTGACTCCCTATGTTTATTCACACAATCTGCCGCTCTGCAACATTATTCTGAACTATTTCAATTATGTCTATATTTGAAATTTACGTTTATCATTCTTTAATTTTCGTAGTACAGAACATTAGAAGTTTTTAATTCAGAACTTCTTTATATTTATTTTGATATATAGAGGGTCATTTGTTAAAATTGCTCTAAAGATGCATATTTTCGAAATATTAATAAAAATTTTGAAGTTGGAAAAAATATACATATTCTGCAAAAAATGTCATGTATTAATACATTTTTACTACTTTAATTCATTTAAAAGTATAAATAAATGATTAAATTTAAAAACTGAAAGGAATATTATTATATTAAAATAACAATTCAAATACATAAAATCATGCATAAATACATACCTGTGTTGTTTTCTATAAATAAGATAATTTTTGCAACGCTTTGAGGACTTTTATATGGCGATTGAGAACTAATCTTTGATCAATATGAAGACATAAAAAAAAAGATAAGCTTGTTTTTATTCTACATACTTGCACTAACGAAATAAAAGGAAATTATAAGGCATTTTTTAATGATTAGATTATTTTGGAAGGTGTGGATTTTTCCACGCTTATTTCCCATTTCATATTATTTCAGCGAAATTTTACGAAATTAAAAAAAAGAAGAAAAAAATATGTCAATATCTGTAATTTAATGTTATTTGGTAAATACATTGCTGTGAAACTTCTTATTTTGATCAGATATAAGTGTAAACATGCTCTAAAAAGAACTACAGGTGCAAAATTGGAAGTTTTTTACGGAAAAAGGAAAAAAAAACATTGCTTGTGTAAAAAAAAATTCCACTATCTTTAGAATTTTTATCTTGTGTTCCTAAATTTTTATGTTTAATTGTTATACATTAATTGTTATGTTTAATTGTTATACATTAATTGTTATGTTATGTTTAATATTACGTTACAAACTTTAATAAATATGTAAGAATTATAAATTGTTGATTTTGTTAAATTTTTGTTAAAAATTAAATAGAAAAATAATTTTGTAAGAAAAGGGCTAAATGCTCCATACTTTCTAGTTAGAATGCCAATTTTTAATCATCGTATATCAACGGAAATTCTTCAATAAACAAGCATCTTGTAAGTTTTGTGGGAAAATGCAAGACATTAGTCATCTTATTAAATTTTATGCCAAATTCCGGACTCTCCGTGGCAGAAAATGGAACCAATATATTCAACATCAACTTTATACTAATATTGACTACAGGAGAAAATAATTGAAATTCTCAAATATACCTTAGATCTGCTTGCCCCCGAGAGTACGCTTGACTCATTTTATCCAGTTTTAAACAGCACTTGATTTCCATCTTTTTACCTTCTAATATTTACCCACTATCTTAAAGATTAGTTAAAGGAAGAATTATTTTGTTAAGATAAAGTTTTAAAATTCCTAAAATCTAAAATATTTTTAAAAAGGCTTAAAAATTAATATTATTTCTCTTTGGAATTTAATGAAAAATATAGATAAATAATTATGATGCTTGAATTTAGAAACAAATAGATAAAAATTCTTAGTGCTAAATGGAATGGTTAATAACCGTGTGTTTTTGAACCGATTAGATTAGATTCACAAAAATTAGCTTTTATTTTATTTTTATAATTGCATAAAATTCAATGATGAAAAATGTAATTAAATTTTTCTATAAAACAATAACAAATCAACAAAACCATTTAATACCAATTATTAATAACTAACAGCCCAAGTTGTTTGTTTTCAATCATTTTAATTTGTTTATTAAAAATTCCAAACACATTTATTTTAATACAAACTAATTTCAAAACTAAATCTTATCTTATCCTATTATTATTTTAAAATAACATTTGAAGTAGAAGTGAAAAACAACTGTGAAATAGATTTTTTCACTTCGTTTAGCTAATATTTAATAGTTTCAGAGAGAAAAAAACTATTTATAGATAGTTCATGTTTTCATATTTATTATTAATAATTATAATAAGTAATAGGCTTAGTTAAAAAATATTTAAAAACCCCTAGAAACGTTGATCTGGGTAACAAACGTATCCCAGTCACTAAACCCAACTCATTTTAAAAGATGTTTAGCATATTGACAAAACTATCATTAGAGTTAATACATAATTCAATTTCATGAGAGGTGGTTCCAATTGTGGTGGTTCCAATCGTTATTTTCTGTAAAACCGTGGCATTATAAAGACGCATGACACTGGCGAACGTTTGCTTAACAGTATTTGGAGTCAGTATTTTGTGAAAGTGAGTATAAATTATGATTATACAAATGGGTGGACTTGTCTATATCTGAACTTTCCCAGTCCTATATTTTCATATTCTGAGTTCGAACAAAAAACTCTTTAATTCATGTTTAAATTCTCTGTTTATTGATAAAATTTATTGAATGTCTCAAAATATTAAACTAGTCATCGTAATCGTATATGATATCTTTAATAATTTTTATTTGCTAGTCCATCTTTTAATTTTCAATGGACATAGAAAAAAAGGAACAATAATATTTATTTAATTATATCGATAGAGACCAGAATGACACCGGGACAATGAAGAAGATATCATGTAAGATACATAAATGGGATGCTGGATGTTAATACATAAAAAACAAGGGCTAAAATAAGCAATAGCAAACTCCAGCACGGCGATATAAGTTAAAAAGCAGACGACATTTTTGGAACTGTTTCGAAGTTGACTAATTTAAGCCGAGTTTTTTTTTTTATTAAGTGTAGTAAAACCGTTTATGAGAAAAGACAAGGCATAGTTTTCGTTAAGAAATGTGCGGGAATGTGAAGGAGTTAGAGTTATATCATCACCTAAAGAACTTCATGCGGTTAAATTTAGTTCTGATATCTCGTATGGAAAACATCACTTGTTTTAATTACAATTGGTAAAAATCTTTCTAATATTTGAATAAATGTCATTTTCTTTTATATCAACAGGATTCTCGATTAGGTTCAACCTATTAGTGCTCGAAATCATAATTTTTTTTTTAAAAATGCATTATAAGCTCACAAAAAAGCGTTTTCTTTCGATACAGGGTGGAATAAACAAGAGGTAAGCATTCTTCTCTAGTTCTGAAGTGTTATGCTTATATTATGATGGATTTTAGGTTTAGATTTGACACGAACATAGACTTCTGTAATGCTAAATCGAAAAAGTTTTAAGTTTATTTGATTATTTATAAATCGACTTATTTATTTAGAGCTATTAATTTAATAAATAAAATTGTAACATTTCATTCTTTTACTTTTTATTCTCAGCTAATTTCCGACTTTTATTTATAAATTCGCATAGCATCTAACAATTTGTGCAATTTTTTTAAATGAAAGAAAAAGTCTTTTTTTGCTGTTTTGTTTTTAAAATTCAACTGCGCAATACAAAAAAGTATACAAAATATTATTAAAAAATTCCAATTTGGTCTTAAATTGGTTAATAATAAAGATAAAACGCACATCTTTCAAAACAAAATATCATATTTATTTTCAATTCAAAAATCGCAAGCATTCAGGCATTCGTCATTTAAAATTATTTATTTTCACTAAATTAAATACTCAACATTGCAGTTTCAAAAGTGCGTTTTTTTCTTCAATGACATATGCACAAAACATTCTTAGTAGAATTCATAGATTTAATGATTTCAATTATTTCACAGAAAATTTTTTTTTTAAATTTAATGACAAAATTTACTATTTTTTTTTAAGTACAGATATTACTGCTTGTCTTGATCTTGTTCTTAAAAACATGAAGTAGAATTGTAAGGTCTAATAATATTTTTTCATCTACTCTATCGGTTAACCTTTTCTTATCCTATTACTATCTGAATCACTATTACTTCACTCATCATTATATACTTCTCAGAGTTCATTATTACAGTTACCATTTTTAAACTTAATTTGATTTTTTGGCTAATGTCTATTATTTATTAGTTAAGGCATTGGGGGTGTGATTGTTCTTGGTTTTTAGTGGCGCCATCTCTGGAGAAGAAGTCGACCCATACGTCACAACTATTTATAGCGCATACCCATTCCTACACATATTCATTCTTCCTCAGATCGTAATTTATTCATTTATTATATCATAGTTGTATATATGGTTTACTTTACCCATTATTTATATAATTAAGTATCTTTTACTATGCCAACGTATACTACTTTTATCTTACATTTACCCGTCGTATTCAATAATATTCCGGCTAATTTATTCATTTAATTCCCTTTCATCTAAAAGATTTTTATTTTCTACACACCTTTACAGAAAACTTGAATGAGACCTGGCTTATTCTTTTATATTATTTTATCTAGTACCTCTAACGAACACTTTCACATGTTACATTTTAAGTCTTCCATTTTTGGGTAATAATTTTATTTAGAATTCGCAATAAATCGCCAATTTGTTGACGCATAGCCGTATAGCTGTATTAGAACATGCCAATTTTTTACGTTCATTTCAAGCAACCCCCAAGTATTTTTCTTCAAGCTTCACATTTATTATTACATGTTACATTTTCATATACATCTCATTGCTTTTGCGTCCGTTCACAAATGAAGCTAAATGCCTATTTGTTATATCTTTAAGAATTTGTGCTGAAATAAAATGAGATGGTATTTCACAATTACATGGTGGTTATTGAAAAATCATGATTTCTTCATCAGTGCACGAACACGTACCTAATACGAAACTACCTCTATATTCTGATAACACACAGATAGAAATTACGAATTTTAATTTCCTCCATTTTGGAAATAACATTTGTTTAGAAGAACAACCAATAGGTTTCTAATTCGCGGAGTTCTCATTCTCTCATACATACATTTTTATAGAAGTCTACTTTTTACACATTTAGACAGTTTTCATAATTCAGAACATTCTTTTCGCATTGTTTTTGGCCTTGATGCTTGCGTTTAGTTAAAAGACACTTCCGAAGACATTAAAAACATATTTTGAAAGCAACACTTGTCACATTCAGGCCAAAAGCTTTGTGTTCTTTTTTCATTTATACGCTTTCAAATTATTTATTTATTTCAGAGTAATGTTTTCAAAAATAATGCAAAGTATGAGAAGAAAAAATTTTTTTCTTCAAATTTTACTATGATGGTGCTCCTTTTTAAATAAATTTCAATCTAAAGTAAAAAGTTTTATAAAATTAAAAGACATGCTTTTGTTAGAAGATAAAGTTTATTTAAAAAAAATTTACATTATATTTTTCATATAGTAACAGTTCATTTATTTAAGGATATAGTAACAGCTCATTTTAAACTATAATCATATCTTATGATTCTTTCTGCTGTTCTTCCTTCTTCTTAAAAGCCAATGCCTAGTAAATCCATTGCATCATTCTTTAAGAAAGCGGTGAAAACACAGGCCTAGAATAGAAAGTAACAGTTTCTTTTTTTTTCCCAAAATATTTCGAGTGAAGTTAATTTTTCAAAAAAGAGAAATTTGAACTCACAAAATTTAAAGTCAAATAAATAATTATAATTTAAATTAATTATTTTAAACTTTGATTTAGTATTTGTAATTATGAAATAGATATTTTGCTCCCTCGAAAACTTTGTTGTACGCAAAGAATAAAATATCTCGTGTTATTTATTTTCGAATTCTGCTGTCCCTAAGAAAAAGATTTCTCGGTTTTTAGGATATTTCAATATGCATTAAGAATGAGATATCTTACCTTCCTATTCAATAAAGAAAACTTTAGTGCAAGAACCAGGCCATTAAAGTAAAGAGGGCGCTATACTTTTTGAGAAATTCACCGCAAATTCTATTTCGCTTCTTTAACTAGTTTAAAATTTAAAGTATGAAAAAAACGAGTTCTGGCAAGCCTAGAGTAAGCCATGAAATTTTAATTGCTGAAAAAGAAATTTCAAAATACCAAAATGCAAATAAATTGTTGGAAGAGAACTTCCCCTTTGTGCAATCCTAAGTTGTCGTCTCATAATTTATTTTCATTTCGATAATTTATTATTAGTTTTTGAAACTTCATGGCTTGCTTACTTTGTGTTTGCCTAAACTACCTTTTCTTAAACTTAAAATTTTATTTACTAATGGAGGTGAACGAGAATTCGCGAGGAAACATTTCTCCTGTTTTGTGGACTCTTTTTAAAAACGTTTTTAAGGTATCTCATACTCCTGAAAATTCGAATTCCACTAATGTATTGACTTTCAGAAAACATTGCTGTCCGTGTTATAAATGTCTTACTTTGTGCAAAGTAATAACTCGCTAATATCTTTTACCTATTTATCTCATTGTTTATAATTTATCTCTGCTGTTTTGCACGTACGTACGGGGTTTTTTTTTACGAAGCAAATGGATTCTATCGGCCTGCTGGACGTTAATAAAAGGGGATTAATTAATTAATATTTTTGAGCATTTTATGGTTAGGTTAATTCACTAAAACGTACAGGGGTGAACAAAATAATGGAAACACTTTTGTACTAATATATTTTTTCGTAATTCTCGAGAAATACTTAAAGAATCATTTTACAAATTCAGATGTGTTTAGAACATACGATTTTTCATACATATCTTTTAGAGGTTTGAGGGACCAATAATAAATAGCAACCGCAAAATAGTGTTTTTGAAAACCCTCTACAAAAATGTAGCAATGAATTTGTAACTTGTAATAATTATTTGGATTATTGTATGCAATTATTAAACAAAATTTCGCAAGCCTAGTTTACATATTTATGGAGATATGGATTTTTATTAAAATTTTTTTTGTCTTGTGTCTCTTGCCATAACTTTAAAGATATGATTAAATTAACCAAAATTTTTAGAGGAATTCAAAATTGAAAAAAAATTGGCATTAAAATTTTTAAAAAATTGTTGAAAACTGGATAATATATAAATAATTTAAGTAGTTCTTTTATACTGCGCATGGGCGGTAAGAATTAATATTCTTTTCATAATGTAGTACTGAATCGTAATTTGGCGTCTAATAAAAAAAGTTAAGTTTGAATGTCTTAAAAATTTAAAAATTTGAAGCAGTTTTCAAAGTAGCTTTTTTACATTTTGAAAGAAGGCTCAAAATGATAAGGGGTTTTCTACAAATATATTTTTGTATCATACAATACAAAATTAAATAACAAATGATAACACTATTTAATAAACATACATACACCAAAATTAAATTGTATATAGAAAGAAAACATGCGAAAAAGAAGCATTTATGGAGGATATTCCCCAATGATGCTGGTGTCATTTTTAATACATCTTGTTATAAATACAAAATGAAATTTGTGGAAAACCCCTTATCATTTTGAACTTACTTCAAAAAAGTACGAAAACTACTTAAAACCTTTCAAATTTTTAAGATATTTAAACCAGACTTTTTTAATTAGATGCCCAATACAATTCACTACAAAAGTAGGGGAAAAAATATTAAAATTTTTCCTGCGCATGGGCAGCATAAAAGAATTACTTTAATAACTCACATCTTGAGCTGCTTTAAAAAAAAATTTCTCACATTTTAAAGAAATTTTTTTAAAATTAATTTTAAATTGCTTAAAAAATTGTGTTTAGTTTTACTGAATATTTTCAAAGTTATAGCATAAAAAAGTAAGACAAATGTTCCTATTTTCGTAAATATTTAAACTAGGTTTACGAAATTTTATGTAAATATTGCATATAATAGCAAAATTAACTGTCACAAATAGAAAATCGATCTCTACATTTTTTGGCACAGGGTGTTAAAAAACATTATTTTCTGTTTGTATTTTGTTGCTAGTCAAACCTCTAAAAGCTTTAAACTTCAATGATAAGTATGAGACACCGCCTAACCTAAACACTTCTAAATGTATAAAATGATTCTCTAAGTATTTTTTAATAAATATAAAAACGTGTATTTGTATAAAAGTGTTTCCATTGTTTTGTCCACCCCCTGTATATTATACTTTGTATAAAACTTTTTGTAATGAAACACGGCGTTTTTTCTTAAAATCTGTAATTTTTAAGCTGTATGTAAAATTAGTAGAACATTAATTGTACTCAAGTAATTAAAATTAATTTCATTCTAAATTAATAGGTTAAGCAAAATTTGAAAGGTTTGTTTCCCTTTTTTAGTAGTAAATATATTTTGTTAAAAGTTGAGCAAATTGTAATAAATTTTACTTACAGTTCCTTTTTCCTCGTCTTTAAGCTGCAAAAAAATAAATACGTCAAAAATAATCCTTTTTTTCATAAAGTATTCAAAAGTAATAAATATCCCACCATCATGATTTAAGAAGATTATTGAATGGTTTACCAATAATTTTACTTTTATTAGTAATTGATTGAGAGATTTAATTAAATTGAACACATGTTGAGGACATTTACATTAGTCTTGTGCAAATTTGCAAACTTAATGATTTGATATCTACAATTAAACCATACTAATTAACTAATGAGGCTTAAAAAATAAGTTATGAAAATAGAAATGAAAGAATAATTTTTTCAAAATATTCCTTTCAACCATTTTCTGGTGCAGTCTGACAAAAATAATTTCAAAAATATTACAAAGCACTAGAAATGTAAAACTAATCTGGGCAACTAATTATATTTCTAGTTAATTAAAATGACTCTATTTATTGTTCCTTGAAGCACATGTTGACGACATTTACAGTAATATTACGTAATCAATATTTAGAAACCACTATTCTTAAGGTTTAGCTATTCTTAGAACTAAGGGTTCCCGTCACAGAAAAACATTGCAAATTTTTTAACAAAATGTGTAGTAATAACTCTAAAAAAAGTGATAGGATTTTTGCGAATCAAGTATTATAAAGTTATTACTCAAGGAATGAGTCATATTATCATCATATTAAATATATCTGGATTAAAAAAAAAAAAAAAACAAGCTTTTGGAAATTTGTCGAAAAATTGTTGGCAGAACGATCAAAATAGAACATGGTTTCACGATGAAATTGCCTCAAATTGTGCATATTTTATTCTTGTAACATGGTTTATAGTATATTCATCGTTGAACAGCCGACTCAATTTCGAGTTTACGGTTAACGATGCAACTCCGTAGCCTTGTAATTTTGAACACAATCCAGAAGACAAGGGCACTCCTGGATCAAGTAATGGGAGTAAGTTTTGCTTTCGTGGAGGACTTTTCGATAGAAATAACCCGTTTTGTTTTACTTGGAGGGGGTAAAAGCGGAAACCTCCCACGTGAGCACTATGGTCGGAACTAAATTTTAGTTAATTGGTCACCCGTTGGTGGCGTGCAACTAGAGCTCTACTATCTTTATCTCTGTAAATTTGAGATAGGATCTAAACTAAAATTTTTAGTTTGATTTCAGACTTTCCTCTAATTTTTTGGTATTTACTGTTTTTTTCCCTTTTGACATAATAACTGGTTTATTGTTGATAGTATTTTAGTGTTAAAATATATAAAAATATACGTAGTATAGGTTTTTTTAAAAGCATTTTTGAAATGAGATCTTATTTAATTCTTTTTTTCTTTCTTTTCTACTGTTAAAATATTTTTTCTTATTTATTTGCTAATTTTTCTTTTTTAATAAAAGATGGTTAATTTGTTTCCTTACTACTAAGTTAAGATATTTTTTGAAAAATGAAATTAAGCTCTACTTTGAAAACATGAGTTAAGCCTTTGATAATTAGTTGAAATTTAAAAAACCTTTTCAATTTCACTCCAAGATATTTTTACTCAAAACTTTCGTTAATATTTTAAATAAAACAGTGGAAAAATTAGTGTGCTAAGTCTTAGAGATATTGATTAAATATATATGGGCTAGTTATTAAAAAATATAGTCAAAATAAGCAATGTTTAGTTTATAAAATACAGATTCATCGAAACGGATATGGATAAGTATTTAACCCACGATTAAGTGTGTGTGTGTGTCATTGTCTGAGTAACTATAACTTACCTCATCCGGTCTTTGGTTATGTTCTTTAAAGCAAGCTTGAACCTAAAAAGAGAACACAAATACTTAATACTGATGCAAATCAATATACTATATGTAAATAGCTTTAACACTATGCGAATAGCTATATAAATCTTTTTATTCATTTAATTTTGACTGATTGATTGTACTAGAATACTTGAAAGCGCATGCTTATGTATTGTTTTATTTGATTGGTGGTAATTATTTGAATTAATATATTTATATCTGTATTACACTGATTAACATTTATTTAAATTTTTTCATTGATTTTCATTTAATTAATATCTTTATAACTATATTACACTCACTAATAATTATTCAAAATTTTTATTGATTTTCGACATTTGTAATTGAAGCTTGGTTACTTTTAAAAGTATCATACAAAAATGATGGAATAAAAAAGAAAGCTTTTAGTTGGTTTAATGGCAATGTAGTGTGAAGCAGAAGTGCAATTTAAAATAAAGAGATGTGTAAAGCATATCTGTTTCAAAAATTTTTAGATTATGGGTGAACTGATCTGCAATGAGAGCATATATTTTATAATTTCCAAATTTCTTTTTCAGAAATCATTTTTATTTAAAAAGATATTAAACAAAATCAATCAACTCTGATTCTGTATTAGAGCCTATTATCTCAAATAATCTTACATATGATTTTACTTGAGTGAGCAAGTGTGGTCAGGAGTTAAAAGTTAAGCAGTGACGGCACGCGTTGTGTTAGACGTTATTCATTGAATAACGTCTAACACAACGCTAACAATTTTAGGGATAATAATTTTAACGTTAACAATTCTAAGGATAAAGATTTTAAGGTTTGGGATATCAGTATAGTCCAAGCGTTAGTGAACGCCAGACCTAAATCTTAGTATAAAGCCAGAAAATTTTTCTGCGCAAGCATACTAAGGTGGATAATAATGGGTGGCTATTATTAACCTTGAGTCCCACTGGCTATGGCAGATTTTGCCGTGTGATTAAGGATAATCGCACGGAATTCAAACTTTAAAGTAAAAACTTCTGCGGTGGAATTATTATCACAGACATCTTCAAGAATAAAATGTAAATAACAGGAAGCCACCAGATGACACCGATATTAAGTCACAATGACGAGAGTGTGAAAGAAGTGCATAAAAGGAATGGTGGCATAGAAGTGAAATTGTTCACAAGCATTCTATAAGCCGCTAAGTGCCATAACCTAAAGGTTTTGACTCTGATGACGCTTGTGTATTATTTGTTACGTGGTAGGATTATCTGCCGTCTGGGATGTGGGCGTACTCAGATGGAAGTATCAGAGGCACTTGGAATTATCCATTCTGTTATCTCTAAGCTTGGGAAATAATTCCAACATGATGGAAATGCCAGTAGACATTACAATACCGATCACACTTGAGTCACAACGCCGAATGAAGACAGATATTTTGGTAGTAACTGCCAAAAGAAGAAGGAGCACAGAATTCGACCTGTCTTATCAGCTATCTGCAGCGACGGGAACCACAGTTTCAAGACAAATCGTGTAAGGATTTTTAAGAAATATTAGTCAATATGCTCGCAGACCTGAAAAATTCTTGTCGCTGGAGATTAACCTGTATACTGCAATGTGGACATCGTCACAGTGGGCTTGTGTATTGTTTTCTCAGGAGTTCAGATTTAGCTTGCAATCTAATTCCCGTCGGACTTAACAGACAGCAGGTACCCGTTACCGCAATGACATCACTTAACGATATCTTTACGGTAATGCAGGATCACTCGTTAGGAGTGGAATTATACTGTGCTGCAGAACATAATCGTGTTTCCTATAAACTTCTTTGAACTCCTCTCTGTTTCATCCTAGAATCAAACAAATTTCCACAATTTTAAGTAAAATTCTTTTTCTATTCCACAATCCCTCTCCTTCTTTTATACTTTATCAAATTTCGTTAGCGTTTTTGCTTCTTCTTTGCTTAAGTACTGAATTATTCCTCCTAATACGTTTACTTTGTGATATATATATATATATATTAACACTATGCGAATAGCTNAGAGAGAGGTCCTTGCAGACTCTTTTTGAAAATTCAAATGTGTCCCCACCAGTCTCAGGTGCTACTCTGGCATAGCAAATTTTTGCTACTCTTTGCTTCTGAAAAAAAAAGCGTTAGATTTAAGTGCACAATGTTGAGGTAAAATATTTTAATAGCGTTGCAAATTAAAACTTATTATTTTAATTCCAGGGATTTATTATATTGTTAGATTATTTCTAGTCATAATATTTCATAAATTTTCCTTTAATGGTGAAAATTAGAAAAAAAAAGTTGTAATGTAGTAATCTGGGGAAAACTCTTTGGGTATTTATTTCTGTAAGTGAATAAATAAGAGTTAAACTACAAATATTCGAAATTTTACATTTGATAATTTTTTTACCATAAAATGAAATATTCTTCATTAATAATTATAAAGAATAATATTGCAAGGTGGTTTATTGCTATATTTCACTCGTGGAAACAAAACTGCTAATTGTAGTAAATATCAGAATAAAATCTGTCAATCTGCTTTTTGTATGTAAAGCCAAAATCTGTACTTAATTTCGACCATTTGTATGAAGGTTTTTGATTACATTAATTCAAATTCTTATAACATCTCAAATCTAGAGATCAAGAGGGCGCTACTAACATAATTATAATCGTTTACGCCACGTAACATTTGTATTAGGCGCATGATTTTTGGTCATAGTAAGGTTTGATGTTAGGTTTCATTAGCAGCCTTGGAATAGTTAAATAGATTTTGATGTTGTGAAGAACGCAATCATACTTTTGAAATGATTAAATACATTATAATAATTAGTTTTAAATTAAGCAATATTTCTTTCAAATCCTCTTCAGCACTTTAAATGTAATATTATTATATAACGAGAAATAAAAATGCTAAAATGATTACAAAGAATATCTCTAACGTATAAAAATACTTATATAGCTTAGGTTTTAAAATCTCTTGCTATTTTTTAGACTGAGTAGCACAAATAATTTTTAAACAAGGTAAATAATATTTTATATTTTAAAGCAAATATCTTAAATATCTTATTTCAAAAATGGACTTCGCTTAGATACAACGAGCATTAAGTGGTGCAGATAGCTGCAACCATTGATAGCTGCAATCGTAGAAGACGGTACCAGTATAAAGCAGTACTTTTTTTCTTTTTTTTTCTTGACAGAATTTTCGAACATAATGAGACGGCCTGATGCACAACATTAAATTATTAATCTAGTTCTGCTTTAGTATTTTAAGTTATGACTTACAATATGATAAATCCTGTTATTAATAAGGGAGAGAGAAATATTATTCATAATGTTTATAATATTTTTCTATTTATTTGAAATAGTACTCAGAATATTATTCATAATGTTTACTTTTATTTATTCAAATTAATTTGAAAATTTTTATACTAATTGAAACGAACCTCATAATTTTTTTTAATATTATAGGTTTAGCATTGTTTTTTAAAAGAACGGGGATTATAAATTAATGATTTATTAAAATCCCGATAAAATTATAGAAACTGTTAGTGACATTTCTTAGTTATAATCCATTGTTATTAAAATAATATTCAGTTAAAAGTAATGAACACTTCTGTCATATTGTTACCAAAGAGACGAAGGCAGATTTTGAGGCGCCAATTTTAAGTATCTCCAAATACTAAAGAACAAATATTTTGAAATATTTATTAAATTTTTACTCGACTTATCGCATGGAAAAACCACCGGTTTTTAAAATATTTTATTAAGTAATGGCATATGATGGTATAGTATAATAAATCACATTGTGAATTTCACCGAAATTAATAGCTTTGTACTTAGTTTTTATCCTCACTCAAAAGTCTCGATTGCTATTTATCTGTAATTGCAAACATAACAGTGCATAATGTAATTACTTACTGCAGAGATATCGAATGCACCAAGTTTTAAAAATTGATATTCATGCAGAAATAATATTTAGGTAGTTATTAGTACTTAGAGAGATCAAGCAATACCCTCTCTTCAGCTGTTAAAAGATTTCCAGCCTAAGACATTATCGTTTAAAAATAGAGAGATTTAGAAATACTATTTAATACCAACTTGCTTTCAAAGTTCATATGTCCTTTAGAAACTCAGCGAAGGTAGTTTGAAGAATATATGTCTTAAGCATGGGCAGTTGATAAATATTCGTGAATTTGAAGGGATGTGAATCGGTCTTGTTAAATCACTCTTCAGCTAAAAGCAGGGACTAATAAAGGAGATCTTTTATATCCTGACGTCTCCATAATACCTATGGCTAATAAATACGACTTCAGATTTGAAACATTTTAACAAGAAGGTCAATTTATATTAAAAAAGTGTTTCTTTGTCAGTACCGTAAAATTAGATTTTTGGTACATGTTTCCATTCCTTTGCTTGTTTTTTAAATGTTTTTAATTCTTTTAACTGGTTTATGTTTTGAGAATGCTTTCTGTACGTAGTAACTTACATTATCTGATCCAAATGAATCTTCACACAGTGCCAAGTCCTTCAGCAAATTATCATTGTTTTTAGCTATAGAGAATAAACGAGTATTAATAAACTAGTCAATTAAAATAAACATTGCAATAAAATAGAGAATGAATCTTTACTATTACGTTTTGCGTAACATTTATTACATTTTACACTTACATTTTGCATTTTCATTTTACATTTACATTTTACATTTACATTTTACATTTGCATTTTACATTTGCATTTTACATTTACATTTTACATTTACATTTCACATTTACATTTCACATTTACATTTTACATTTAAATTTTACATTTACATTTTACGTTTTTATTTTACATTTACATTTACATTTTACATTTATATTTTACATTTACATTTTACATTTACATTTTACATTTACATTTTACGTTTACATTTTACATTTGCATTTTAAATTCACATTTTATATTCGCATTTTACGTTTACATTTTACGTTTACATTTTACATTTACATTTTACATTTGCATTTTGCATTTGCATTTTACGATTAAATTTTACATTTATTTTTACTATTTTTCACATTAAATTTTTTTCACGTATAAATACATTAATGAAGTAGCTCTGAGTGTTTTTTCAAAATTTTTTTGTTGAAGATCGTTTCCAGTAGTTGAAATCCATTTATCAGTCATGATTTCAGAAAGTCATGAATTCATTCTAATTAATAACAATAAAAAACTGAAAATTTGGAGATTTTTATCTGCCTACAAAAGTTTCTTGTTAAAATACTGTAATGCAAAAAGAAACTTTTACCACATACTATTCGTTTTAAAAGTTTAAGAAAAATCACTTTCTTAACAATATTGATTTTTTCACGTTAAAATATAAAGAATATGGGTTTAAGTCTTACTATTTGTTATATAAGTTTTGATTTAGAAAAAAATAAGCTTATTAGCTATGCAAAATTTTCATATTGGATTACAATATTGCACAAACAGCTTTCAAGCACACATTGATTATGCGAACGCTCAGTTAGAACACGTTTCATTGCTTTAATAATATAAATTTTTCATGTTGAAATAAGTATAATACAAAAATAACAATTACCACAAATTGCTTTTATAAGCTTTAAGTCTTCATCAGCTCTTGATAATGTTGCTAAAGCGATAGCACAGACTGCAAGAGTGAACCAAAGGTTTGCCATTTCCAAATATCCCTAAAATAAAATTTTTATGCTAAAAATTATGTATGTGAATGTTAGTGTCATTTAGTATTCGAAATGGCATAAATAATTCCTTACTTTATAGCGAGTCTGAGAGGGACTCTTTTAATGCATCGATAATGAAATAAAAAAGAATTTAAATTGGAAATGTTGGGGGTATTTAAATAAAACTTAGGCAAAAAGAACTAGAGATGTGGCTTGCAGAGAACAAGTAAGCAGTTCCTGGAGGGAGGGATGAAATAACAGGCAAGGGTTGAACACTTAAGTATTTTTTTAAAACAAATCTCACCTTGAAATTTAAAACGCAATTCAGCTTTATTACGAGTTACAGTCGTTCATCGGATATAACAACCCCTTTTGACCAAGCAAAAATGAACGTTATAAAGTGAGGTCATTACATCTTGAATCTCATGTAGATAATTTTTACTCAGATGTAAAAAATTTTAGTTCTTGACCCCTTTAGATAGGAATCTGGGAAACTAGGATACAGAACGGCCGTCTTACTCTTCCTTCTTTTAAAAGAAAATTCTTAATAATCTTTTCCTTAATGAAATTATTAAATTTCAAAGAAATCATTTTGTTTTGAAAGCAAAAGGGTGTTTCCCACATTTTCAAAAGTGACTTTCATGGGAATGAAAAAAGGAACTAAATTTTGGTCGCTACATTGGATTGAGCTGTTTTATGAGGAAGTTTTAATGAGCGCTAAAACAGCATTACAACTATGGCGTTGAAAATAAGACTTACTGTATCTGTCATTATAATGGAAGAGAGACCATACTAAATGGCATAGGTTGGAGTAAAGTAAAAAGAAGTATACATTAGATTGACGAAACAAATATTTGTATTTTAATCTTTTTTAGATTTTATATTATAAAATATATTCAGAAATTTTGCTTACCTGCTTTTTTTTCCTTCTAAACGTAAATGAAGATGACAACTAAGTTTTCGTGTCCCCTTTTATATAAAGTCATGCAGATAATAATAATCTTAAAATTTTCTTTAACTGAAAAGGGTTATTTGATTAAAAGATAAAATACAGCTTTTTCTGTTTAAATTGTTTCATCTAAAAGCAAAGGATAATATTTTACGATTAGAAACCTGTAAAATGTGGATATTTTCCCACACTTTTCATCTTTGACCTTCTAACATTAATCTACTACATTTGAAAGATAATAATTATGATGACATAATTATTTCATTAGATATTATAAAATCAACACAATTCCTTAAACTTATTAAAAAATATTAAAAAAAAATATTTTAAAAATACGTTAAACAAATTTAATACTATTTCTTCATGAATTCCATAAAAATGTCTTGCAAAGAATAAACAGCTAAAAGAAATTAAAAAATCGTGGAAAAATTCAGCTTTGAGTTTTAATAATGTCAAGAAATAGCATAAGTTTCTATATTGTAACCTATATCATAATTATATTAATTTGTTGAACAGATTTTATTGATGATTATCTGAAACATTTTCTTCCATAACTGAAATGTCACACACACAATTATTAGTCACACATATTATTTACAGTTAGCTTAATGGATTAGATTATAATAAGAAATTGGGAAAATCATTATTAAAATATTTAATATCTTTAAATGATATGACCAAAGGCTTAGGAGTAAGAAATGTATTAAAGTACTCGAAGTCAGAATTTTTCATAACGCCTATCTATCGACTTGATGCATCCAAGAGACTGCCAAAGTGATGCATACCTCAAAGCAGCATTTTTTTTTTAAAAAACCGGTTGAAATCGCATCTCAAATCACTCATGTTTGATAGATTTTATAATCAAACATGAAGTACATGTTTGATTTACTTTATGAAGTTTGAAATTAGTATCTTGACTGAATTTACATCAAGCAGATTTCTTGACTAAGAAATTACAAAATTTGAATTTTTCTACTATTGTTTCGATGTAAAAGAAATATGGGCTACAATAGGACGTTAATTGTATTGAAGTTAAGATTTAAATCTGTGTAAAATCAGTATTATTAAATCGTATGAAAGATCTCGTATATTACCCTTATGGTTCTATTAGGATCTATTAGTAAACGTAAGATGTAGGCTACGAGTATACCCACTAGTAGTAGTAGTTTTTTTTTAAGTATACCCACTCTCCTATAATCAGGGTATTCGGGACAATTTTGCGACCGGTTGCTGTGAAAGTGATCCCTCATGCCATCAGGCTAACCGTGAGAGGTTTTCGTGGTTTTCTTATCCATGCAACGCAAATACGGGTTAGTTCCATCAAAAAGTCCACCAAGGAGGCAAATTTCTCCCAGTACTCGATCTAGGAGTTCCCTTGTCTTCTGGATTGAGTGACGGAATTGAGCATTTGTAGTCGTAAAGCCTAAAATTGGGTCGGCTGATCAAGGCTGGTTATAGAATAAAATAAAATACACTATTTTGGCTTAAAGTAGACGATCATATTTTGACGTTGAAGTACACTAAGATTCTTCACACTATCAATTCTTTACAAGCCATTACTTTGTAATGGAAAATACTTTTTTCAGAATTTTGATTTATTCTAATGTACCACTGAGAAAAAAAATGAAATATTCGTATTATCCTTATTATTACTGTTGCTAAAGTGAATTTATGTAATGTTTTTGTAACAATAAATTGCACATTTCCAAACGTTTTGCATACATTATGTAACTATCTTGCATGATTAAGACCTTTTTCGGGTCCCAATGTTTATATAATGAATACATGTTAAAACTGTAGAATAATTTTTTCCGAAGTAGGCCAATTATGCCAACAATTATAAAAAAACTAATTCTAAATTTCTTATTCAACATCTCATGTCATTTATTTTCACGCATTTGAATTAGTTAAATGATAAAATCTGAAAATAGCCTTATTTGAGTACAATCTGATTACAAAATTCATCATGTATTATTATTTTTCAGATAATTTTTTTTAAAAAAAGTAGTTAAAAACCTCTAACAAAGACTCTCATTCTCTATCGATAGTTTATATCTATTATTTATAACGCCAATTGGTCATAAGCTTGCTAAAAAAAATTAACTATAAACACCTCTGAAACGTTGATTCGGGTGACAAACGTATCCCTGCCACTGATCCCAACACACTTTAAAAGATGTTTAGCTTATAGACAGGGTTATTATAAAGACTTAATGCATAATTCAATTTTAAGGCTGATTGGACAGTAGAGGTTCTAATCGTTATTTTGTGCAAAACAGAGCACGGCAGACGCATATTAGGTTTACAGACACCGAGTTTGGATATAGCATTTCCTGAAGGTAAGTAAAAATTATGATTATAAATTAATAGGGTTAATTAGACAAACTTTATACTTTCACCATTATATTACATTCGCTCCTTCCGAATGAAATCAAAAATTTCTTTAATCCATGTTTTTTTTTTGAATAAAAAAGATTGAATCTCATTAAATAAAACTAAACATTTGTATTTCGTATTAGGCCTAGTGAATTGTACTGGTATAGCTCATACCATTATTTTAAAATGCTTTATAGCAATGAAAGCCAGACAATGGAGAACTTTTGCTCATTGTTGACCTCTTTTGCATTAGCAGACACTTTGCGTCTTGCGTCTTGCAATTTGCGGAGCAAGACACTTTGACGTCTTGCTCCGAAATTTTAAATTGGCTTTAACTATAAATCCCTTTTGGAATTATTATAATTGATCTCTGGGGTGCTGAACTATATATATCCGTTCTTACACGGGCCCATTTTGCTTTCATATATCCACGTCGTATTTTTTACTTTACTACATGGTTTAAAATGCTTGATTTATTGTTTTAAATTTACATGTCATCGATATGATGAGATTTTCTAATGTGTATCAATAGTTATTAGTTTTAATTTTACTTTACTGTAGTTTTGTAGTGTTTAGTTCTAAAGTGGTAACGGGTAAAATCCTTATCCGAAAACTCCTCCGGGTGTAGGTCGATCACTATAATACTATTAATCTTAATTATTCTCTTTTTTGATTATAATCAACAGTAGATGGATATTTCCACGAACTTGATTGCCATCTTTATCTTCTAATATTTACCTACTATCTTAAAGATTAGTTAAAGGAAGAATTATTTTGTTAAGATAAAGTTTTAAAATTCATAAAATCTAAAATATTTTAAAAAGGCTTAAAATTAATATTATTTCTCTTTGGAATATAATGAAAAGTATAGATGAATAATTATGATGCGTGAATTTATAAAAAAATAGATGAAAATTCTTAGTGCTAAATGGAATGGTTAATAACCGTGTAAGTATTTTTAAACCGATTAGATTAGATTCACAAAAAAATAGTTTTCATTTTATTTTTATAATTGTATAAAATTCAATGATGAAAAATGTAATTAATTTTTTTTTATAAAACAACAAAAAGTCAACAAAACCATTTAATACCAATTATTAATAACTAACAGCCCAAGTTGTTTATTTTCAATCATTTCAATTAGTTTATTAAAAAATTCAAAACACATTTATTTTAATACAAACTAATTCCAAAACTAAATCTTAATTATTAATCTAAATCTTATTATTTTAAAATAACATTTGAAGTTGAAGTGAAAAACAACCATAAAATAGAATTTTTCACTTCGTTTAGCTAATATTTAGTAGTTTCAGAGAGAAAAAAGCTATTTATAGATAGTTCATGTTTTTATATTTATTATTAACAATTATAATTAGTTATAGGCTTAGTTAAAAAATATTAAAAAACCCCTAGAAACGTTGATCTGGGTAACAAACGTAACCCAACTCATTTTAAAAGATGTTTAGCATATTGACAAAACTATCATTAGAGTTAATACATAATTCAATTTCAAGAGAGACTGTGTTTGGATTGTGATGGTTCCAATCGTTATTTTCTGTAAAACGGTGGAATTATAAAGACGCATGACACTGGCGAACGTTTGCTTCACACTATTTGGAGTCAGTATTTTGTGAACGTGAGTATAAATTATGATTATACAAATGGGTGGACTTGTCTATATCTGAACTTTCCCAGTCCTATATTTTCATATTCTGAGTGCGAACAAAAAATTCTTTAATTCATGTTTAAACTCTCTGTTTATTGATAAAATTTATTGAATGTCTCAAAATATAAAACTAGTCATCGTAATCGTTTATTATATCTTTGATAATTTTTATTTGTTAGTCCATCTTTTAATTTTCAATGGACATAGAAAAAAAGGAGCAAAAATATTTATTTACTTATATCGATTGAGACCAGAATAACACAGGGACAATTAAGAAGATATCATGTAATACGAGGGTTGCTATTTATATTTCTGGCCTAATGAAAAAACAAATATGTAAAATCGAAATTGGTTTTATTGTTTTTCAAAATATTCTCCATGATGATCAATACACTTTTGCATGCGTTTGAACCAATTTTCAAAGCACTTTTTCCAGTCTGATTGAGGTAACTGCAAAACATGCGTTTTGAATGCATCAATCGCTTTTTCGGGGGTCGAAAATCGTTGTCCACGTAATTTGTTTTTGATGTGTGGGAATAAGAAGAAGTCATTGGGTGCCAAATCAGGGCTGTACGGCGGATGACCCATCAGTTCGATCTTTCGCTCCGTCAGAAATGCCTTTGTTTGAGTCGATGTGTGAGAGCTCGCATTGTCATGATGAAGAATGATTCGCCTGTTCTTCTGCTTTTTTCGAATTTCTCCGATGACTTCTGGCAAACAAATGGTCGTGTACCATTCAGAATTGACCGTCCTGCGTTGCTCTAACGCCACTGTTGCCACATGACCGTTAATGCCGAAGAAACAGGCAATCATTTGTTTCGATGTGCTTCTTCCTCGAACAACTTTTGTTGGTTTTGCCTCGTCTTGGAAGACCCATACAGTTGATTGCTGTTTTGTTTCCGGCTCATATGCATAGATCCATGATTCGTCACCTGTGTAGATGTTATACACAGCCTTTGATGTACCTTGAACGTATTTTTCCAACATTTCCTTGCACCAATCGACACGAGCCTTTTTTTGAGCGTTTGTCAGATTATGCGGGATCCAACGCGAACAAATTTTTTTTACGCTCAAATGTTCATGCAATATTTTATTGATGCTAGTCATACTAATGTCCAAAGACGCCTCTATCTCACGGTATGTCACATGACGATCTTGCTTTATCAGTTCACGCACAGCATCGATCTTTTCTGGCACAACAACGGATTTTGGACGACCTGCACGGGATTCGTCCTGGATCGAACATCGACCACGATTAAATTCGTTATACCAATTTTTTACAGTGCTGTAGGATGGCGCTTTATCGCTGAATAAAGAATTAAGTTCATCGAAGCACTCTTGTCTTGACAATCCACGTCGAAAGTTATGAAAAATAATGGCACGAAAATGTTCACGATTCAATTCCATTTTTTGAAAGAGAAGAACTTTTCAATTTACTGTCAACAACACAAATTAAGCTATAATGGTAAATCGTCTGCTGAATTTATGTTTAAAAATATCAAACTTTCGATTAAAATCGTCTGCGGTCGCCCAGCAACACTTACTGTTGCCAAGGCCAGAAATATAAATAGCAACCCTCGTAAGATACATAAATACGATGCTGGATGTGAATACATGAAAAACAAGGGCTAAAATTATCAATAGCAAATTCCAGCAGAGATATAGATTGAAAAAGCAGACGAATTTTTGGAACTGTTTTGAAGTTGACTAATTTAGGCCGATTTTTTTATTTTTTTTTATGAAGTGTAGTAAAATCATTTAAGGGAAAAGACAAGGCATAGTTTTTGTTAAGAAATGTGGAAGAAAGTGAAGGAGTTTGAATTATATCACCACCTAAGGAATTTTGTGCTGTTTAATTAGTTCTGATATCTCGTTTGGAAAAACATATCTTGTTTTAGTTACAAATGGTAAAAATCTTTCTAATATTTAAATAAATGTCATTTTCTTTTATATTATTTGGATTTTTGATTAGGTTCTATCTATTAGCCCTCGAAATCATACTATTTCTTTTAAATGTATTTTCAGAACACAAAAAAATGTTTTTTTTTTCTCGATATAGTGAGGAATAAACAAAAGGTAAGCATTCTCTTCTGATTCTGAAGTGTTATGCTGATAATATGACGGATTTTAGGTTTACATTGGACACGAACATAGACTTCTGTAATGTTAAGTAGAAAAAGTTTTAAGTTTGTTTGATTATTTATGAATCAAGTAATTTATTTAGATCCATTAATTTAACATATAAAATTGTAAAATTTCATTCTTTTACCTTTTATTCTCAACTAATTTTTGATTTTTATTAATAAATTCGCATAGCGTCTAACATAGCGTCTTTTTTAAATGAAAGAAAAAGTCTTTTTTTGCTGTTTTTTAAAAAAGAAAATTTCAACCGCGCAATGGAAAATAGTATATGTGGGGGCGGAGTTATCGACCATGCCAACCTTCATCTATCAAAAGGTACCTCATGATTGAATCAAGTTAGCATGTTTTATATACCAGTGAATTGATGTTTAATTTTCGTAGTGGTAGTTACGCCACAATACTCCTCCACCAGAATTTTATCAGAAATAGAATTCGATGAACGAATACCACTAGTTGCTGTACTTGTGAAAGACCGGGAGAGCTGGTTTTAAGGTTACCGTTTTTTTTTGAGTACTGAATGTGAGAGGTGTATTAACTTCATAGTCGTAGTCGCTCTTGTGTTGTCATTAGCAGTCGAATGCAGGCAGGCAGACGTTGTGTTTAATCGAGACGAGACTGAGTAGCAACAGTGTCGTGATCTCGTTCTTAAAAACATAAAGTAGAATTGTGGGGCTTAATGATATTTTTTCATCTACTTCATTGGTTAACCTTTTCTTATCCTATTACTATCTTAATCACTATTACTTCACAGCTCTCATATTACTTCACACATCATTATATACTTCTCAGAGTTCATTATTACAGTTACCATTTTTAAACTTAATTTGATTTTTTGGCTAATGTCTATTATTTATTAGTTAAGGCATTGGGGGTGTGATTGTTCTTGTTTTTTAGTGGCGCCATCTCTGGAGAAGAAGTCGACCCATACGTCACAACTATTTATAGCGCAGACCCATTCATACATATATTTATTCATTCTTCCTCAACCCCTAATTTATTCATTTATTATATCATAGTTGTATATATGGTTTACATTATGCATTATTCATACGAGGGTTGTAAATTAAATAGCGGCAACTTAACCTTGAAACTCACAGAAGGGCGGGCATGCGCAAATAGGGTATGGGTGCTGTGAGGTGGCGCTGTTGTAGATGTGTAGAGTGCAAAAATCAGTCGTTCTGCTTAGAAGGGTAGTTGTTGCGTGGCGTTAAAGTGAGGAGTATCGTTTCCATCGCTCTAAAGCATGTTGTCCAAAGGCTTAATGACGAAAAAAGACGAGATGCTTGAACCCATTGTGCAACTGTTCTATACGGTAAAGCATTTGTGCCACAGGCTTCTACTAATCCTCGATAGCATTCTGTTGCATTTTTGCCACGGGCAACCTCGATTTTAAGTCACGACCACTGATCACGCTTTGAAAGCATGCTTTAGAGCGATGGAATTACAACCCTCGTATAATTAATTATCTTTTACTATGTCAACGTATACTACCTTTATCTTACATCTATGAGTCATATTCAATAATATTCCAGCTAATTTATTCATTTAATTCACTTCCATCTAAAAGATTTTTATTTTCAACGCACCTTTACAGAAAATTTGAATGAGACCTGGCTTATTTCAATTTTATTTTTTAACTTATTTCACAGAGTACCTCTAAAGGTCTGGTTTCTTAGGACAAGCGCCTTATCTGAGCGTCAGCGGGACGTCAACGTCCCGCTGACGCCAACAAAATACTGGTTTGTTAGCTCAAGATCTGGTTTCTTAGAACTAGCGCCTTATCTGGGCGTCAGCGGAAAGTTGACGTAGAGCTGACGCCAAAAAAATACTTTTTTGTTAGCTCAGCGTGAGCAGTCGGTCCAACGCAGACATTATCTCTCATTGCGCATGCGTTAATAACGTAAACAAATATTTATTTTGAATTTGTATTGATTTTGTTATTGTCGACCAGTGTTTTAGAGAACAAATAATGACTTTGTCCAAGAAAAAACACATTATAGCTGAGCTAAATGAAGAGTGCTATGTTTAATGAAGAAGCTATGTTTAATGTCAAAATCAAAATCTTGGCTGATTTCAATGTGCTGTTGGATGTTGTCCGCCATTGCTTCTGTGGTTAACGTCACGTTGTAATCCAACTGCAGTTGAGTTGGACGGCAATTGTAGTTCAAGATGAGCGTTCGATGACGTATACTATCAAACTCACAAATAAACCAATCAGAGGTTAGCGCTGATTTCCAGCTGACGGCGTCCTGTCCTAAGAAACCAGACCTTTAGGAACACTTTCATTTGTTACATTTTAAGCCTTCCATTTTTGGCTAATAATTTAATTAGAATTCACAATTAATCGCCAATTCACTGACACATCGCCATTTGGCAGTATTAGAACACGCCAATTTCTTACTTTCATTTATAGCAATCCCCAAGCAATTTTTTTCAAACTTCACATTTATTGTTACATGTTATGTTATATTTCCATATACATCTCATTGCTTTTGCCCCCTTTCACAAATGAAGCTGAAGGCCTATTTGTTATATCTTTATGAATTTGTACTGAAATAAAATGAGATGGTATTTCAGAATTACATCGTGGCTATTGAAAAATCACTGTTTCTTTGTCACCGTAGGAACCTAAAACGAAGCTCTATAGTCTTATAACACAGAGATAGATATTACGAATTTTATTTCCTCCATGTTGGAAATAACATATGTTGAGAGTAACCACCAATAGGTTTCTTATTGGTGAAATGTCCATTCTGTCAAACATACATTTTTAGAAAAGTCAACTTTTTACACATTTAGACAGTTTGCATAATTCAGAACATTCTTTTCGCATTGTTTTTGGCATTGATGCTTGCGTATAGTTGAAAGACACTTCCGAAGGCATTAAAAACATATTTTGAAAGCAACATTTTTCACATTCAGGTCTGCTTTTTCAATTCTAATTCAATTTAGTATCTTGAATGTGGAAAAGATAAAATTTATTTGATTAATTTTGTAGCTTTTGATTTATGAATAGATAAAACCAAATTTTAAAAAAAGAGAAAGATAATTAAAACAATCCTACATGCAATGGGAACTACACGAGTTGCATACATTCTGTTAAAATTGAAATAAAGTAGCGAGGAAAAAAAATACTTGCATCTGCGAGAATAGTAAACGTTGTTTTGAAAAATCACCATTCAAAATTTGCTAAAATCAGTTTCTCCCAAAGCGTGTCAATATCAAAAGCTTTGGGCCTTTTTCATTAAAACGCTTTTAAATTATTTATTTATTTTAGTGTAATCCTTTCGAAAATAATTTAAAATATGTGAAGAAATATTTTTTTTTTCAAATTTTACTATGATGGTGTTGCTTTTTAAATAAATTTCAGTCTAATGTAAGAAGTTTTATAAAGTTAAAAGACATGTTTTTTGTTAAAATATAAAGTTTATTTAAAAAAATGTTACATTATATTTTTCATACAAGTATAGAGTAACAGTTCATTTTAAATTATCATAACATCTTATGATTCTCTTTGCTGTTTTTTCCTCTTCTTAAAAGCCAATGCCTAGCAGATCCATTGCACCGTTCTTCAAGAAAGCGGTGAAAACACAGGCCTAGAATGCAAAGTAACAGTTTCTTTTTTTTCAAAATATATCGAGTGAAGTTAATTTTTCAAAAAAGAGAAATTTAAGCTTACAAAATTTAAAGGCAAATAATTAATTATAATTTAAATTAATTATTTTAAGCTTTGATTTAGTACTTATAATTATGAAATAGATATTCTGCTCCCTCGAAAACTTTGTTGTGCGCAAAGAATAAAATATCTCGTATTATTTATTTTCGAATTCTACTGTCCCTAAGAAAAAGATTTCTCGGTTTTTAGGATATTTCAATATGCATTAAGAATGAGATATCTTACCTTTCTATTCAATAAAGAAAGCTTTAATGCTATTAAAGTATTATTTAATGCTATTAAAGTAAAGAGGGCGCTATACTTCTTGAGAAATTTTTCATCACAAATTCGATTTCGTTTCCATAACTATTTTAAAATTTGAAGTATGAAAAAAATGAGTTCTAGCAAACCTAGAGTAAGCCATGAAGTTTTAACTGCAGAAAAAGAAATTTCAAAATACCAAAATGCAAATAAATTCTTGGAAGAGAACTTCCCCTTTGAGCAATCCCAAGTTGTCGTCTCATAATTTATTTTCTTTATGATGATTTGAAAATTTCTTACCAATGGCAATTTCAATTCTTATCAATAAATAAATTTCTTATCAATGAAAATTCATGGCTTGCTTACTTTATGTTTGCCTAAACTGAGATTTTAAATTTAAAATTTTATATTACTATTTAAGGTGAAAAAGAATTTGGGATGAAACATTTCTCCTGTATTGTGGTGTCTTCATAAAAAGGTTTTTAAGATATTTCATACTCCTGAAAATTCCAATTCCAATGAGAGAAGTATGTCTTGACTTTCAGAAAACATTGCTGCCTACGTTATAAATGTTTTATTTTTTACAAATTAATAATTCGCAAATATCTTTTTCGTAGTTCGCAACGTATTTGTTTCATTGTTTAGAATTTATACATGCTGCTTCGCATGTACGGGTTTCTTTAGCACCAAACAAAGGGATTCTACCGGCCTGCTCAACGTTAATAAAAGGGAATTAATTAATTCATATTTTTGAGCAATTTATGTTTTAGTTAATTCACGAAAAAGTACAGGAGGTAGATAAAGTACTGGAAGCACTTTTATACTAATATAATTTTTCGTAATTCTCCAGAAATACTTAAAGAATATTTTAATAACTTCCGAAATGTTTAGAACATATGATTTTTCATACATATCTTTTAGAGGTTAGAGGGACCAACAATAAATTTTAAACGGAAAATAGTGTTTTTGTAAACCCTATGGCAAAAATGTAGAAATAAATTTGTAACTTGTAATAATTATTTGGGTTGGAATATGCAATAATTACACAAAATTTCGCCTAACTTAAATATTTATGGAGATAAGTTTATTCTTATCTCGCCCCGCCCTATTTTAGGGCATACGAGAGTTGATAAATACGCAAATGATACCTTAAAAAAACATAAATCTCTAAAAGTTACATCAACAGTGGATATAAAAATCTGAATATCTAAAATAATGTTCAGTACAATTCTATATAACAAGTTAAAACCAAATAAAATAATAAAGTAGTAAAAAGGTTAAAAAANTGTTTAGATATATTTATGGAGATATGGACTATTTATTATGGACTTTTATTAAAATGTTTTTGTCTTACGTCTTTTGCCATAAGCTTTAAAAAGATAGGATAATATTAATCAAAATTTTTAGAGCAATTTAAAATTAATTAAAAAAGTTTTGCTTTAAAATTTAAAACTTTTTTTTTTTGAAAACTGCTTAATATATAAGTAATTTAAGTAGTTTTTTGATACTACGCATGCGCAGAAAAAATTAACATTCTTTTCATAAAGTTGTATGAATCGTAATTGGCAACCAATAAAAAAAATTCAATTTGGATGTCTTAAAAATTTAAAAAAATTTAAGCAGTTTTCAAAGTAGCTTTTTCACATTTTAAGGAAATGCTCAAAATGATCAGGGGTTTTCTACAAATATATTTTTGTATCATATAATACAAAATTAAATAACAAATGATAAAACCGTTCAATAAACGTACCAAAAAGGAATAGTATAAAGAAAAAATAATATGCGAAATAAAAGCGTTTATGGAGGATGATCCCCAGCGATGCCGGGGATATTTTCAATAAAACCTCTTTAAAATACAAAATGATATTTGTGAAAAATCCCTTATCATTTTGGAGCTTTCTTTTAAAAAGTACGAAAACTACTTATAAAAGTGCGTGAGACTTTTTAAATTTTTAAGATAATCAAAACAGACTTTTTTAATTAGCTGCCCAACACAATTCACTACAAAGCTAAGGGAAAAAAAATTTAAAATTTTCCCGCGCATGCATAGTATAAAAAAATTACGTTAATTACTTATATCTTGAGCTGTTTAAAAAAAATTCGAAAATTTAAAGCAAAAATTTCGTAATTAATTTTAAATTGCTCAAAAAATTGTGTTTAATTTTATAGAATATTTTTCAAAGCTATAGCATAAAAAAGTAAGACAAATGTTCATATTTTCATAAATATTTAAGCTAGGCATACGAAAGTTTGTGTAAATGTCGCATGTAATAACCAAATTAACTGTCGCAAGTAAAAAAATCTATTGCTATATTTTTTGGCATAGGGTGTTCAAAAACATTATTTTCCGTTCATATTTTATTGCCGGCCAAACCTCTAAAAGCTTTTAACTTCAATGACAAGTATGAGAAACCCCATAACTTAAACACTTTTAAATTTATAAAATGATTTTCTAAGTAATTTTTGATAAATATAAAAACGTGTATTAGTATAAAAGTGTTTCAATTGTTTTATACACTCCCTGTATATGATGCTTTGTATAAAACTTTTTGTAACGAAGCACGGCGTATTTTTCTTAAAATCTGTAATTTTTAAGCTGTATGTATAATTAATAGAACATTAGTTACACAAAATATTAAAATTAATTTCATTCTAAATTAATAGGTTAAGCAAAATTTGAAAGTTTTTTTTCCTCCACTTTTTAGTAGTAAATATATTTTGTAAAAAGTTGAGTAAATTGTAATAAATTTTACTTACAGATCCCTTTTCCAAGTCTTTAAACTGCAAAAAAAAATATATGTCAAAAATAATCAGTTTTTTCCGGAAGTTATTCAAAAATAATAAATATCCCACCATTATGAATTAAGATTGTTAAATGGTTTATCAATAATTTTACTTTGATTAGTAATTAATTGAGTGATTTAATTAAAATGAAAACATGTTGACGACATTTACAGTAGTCTTGTGTAAATTTGAAATCTTAATGATTCGATATTTATAACTAAACCATACTAATTAACTAATGAGGCTTAGTTATGAAACTAGGAATGAAATAATGATTTTTTTTGTATGTACTAGATTTCAAAATATTTCTTTCAAACCTTTTCTGGTGCAGTCTGACGAAAATTATAATAATTTCAAAGCACTAGAAATGTAAAACTAATCCGGGTCAGCTAATAATAATTCTAGTTAATTAGAATGACTCTATTTATTGTTCCTTGAAACACATGTTGACGACATTTACAGTCCTGGCACTCCTGGATCAAGTATTGGGAGAAGGGTTTTGCCTTCGTGGAGGACTTTTCGATAGAACTAACCCGTTTTGCTTTACATGGAGGGAGAAGCCAAGAAAACCTTCCACGGTCAGCCATACGGCAGAATGATTCTAATCTACGATCCATCTACCACTGAGGATATTTTAAGTAAGCACTATGGTGATGAATTTGTGTAGACCAGCCATCACTAGGATTCGAAACCGGGTCGTCTCATCATTTGGAGATGAGTGCTCTATCCCCTGTAGAAATTTTGGGCTACTGCGGTATGATATTTTGGGTACCATTTGATTACAATTTGCTTTAGTCACCCGTTGGTGGCGTACCACTAGAACTCTAATACCTTTATCTCTGTAAATTTACGATAGGATCTAAGCTAAAAGTTTTAGTTTGATTTCAGACTTTCCTCCAATTTTTTGGTATTTACTGTTATTTTCCCTTTTGACATAATAACTGGTTTATTCTTGATAGTATATAAATTTTAGAGTTAAATTATATAAAAACATACACAGTACAGGTGTTTTAAAAGCATTTTTGAAATGCGATCTATTTAATTCTTTTTTTCTTTTCTACCTTTAAAATATTTTTTCTAATTTTTTTTGCTAATTTTCCTTTTTAATAAAAGCTGGGTATTTTTTTCCCTTAGTATTAAGTTAACATATTTAAAAAAAAATGAAATTAAGCTCTGCTTTGAAAATATGAGTTAAGCGTTTGAGAATTAGTTAAAACTTAAAAAAGCTTGACAATTTCACACCAAGATATTTTTATTCAAAACTTTCGTTAATGTTCAAAATAAAATAATGGAAAAATGAGTATGCTATGTTTTAGAGATAGTGAATAAATATATATGGATTAAATATTAAAAAAAAATATAGTCAAAATAAGCATGGTTCAGTTTATGAAATAGATTAGTCGAAACGGATATGGATTAGTATTTAACCCACGATTAAGTGTGATTGTCTGAGTTACTATAACTTACCTCATCAGGTCTTTGGTTATGCTCTTCAAAGCAAGCTTGACCCTAAAAAGTGAACACAAATACTTAATACTGATGCAAATCAATATACTATATGTAAATAGCTTGGAGTTATCTATACTGTTATCTGTAAGCTTTGGCAATAATTCCAACATGATGGAAATGCCAATAGACTTTACAATACAGATCACCCCTAAGTTATAACGCCGAATGAAGATAGATATTTTAACAGATACACATATTGTAGGAACTGCAGAAAGAAGAAGGATCTCAGCGTTCGACCGGTCTCGTCAGCTATCCGCAGCCACGGGAAGACGATTCAAGACAAATCGTGTACACAGTTAAAGAAATATTAGTCAGTATGCTCGTCGACCTGCCAAATCTGTGTAGATAGAGATTAACCTGTATAATGCAATGTGGACATCGTAACAGTGGGCTTGCTTATTGTTTTCTCAGGGGTCCAGGTTTAGCTTGCAATCTGATTCCCGTCCGGACTTTCATGTAGAGAACAGCAGGCACCCGTTACCACAAGGACAACATCATTTAACGATATCTTTACGGTAACGTAGAATCGCTCGTTTGGAGTGGAATCATACTGTGCTGCAGAACATAATCGTGTTTCCGATAAACTTTTTTGAACTCACTGTTTCATCCTAGAATCAAACAAATTTCCACAATTATAAGTATAATTCTCTCTCTATTCCACAATTCCTCTTCTTCTTTTAGAATTTATCAAATTTCGTTAGCGCTTTTGCTTCTTCTTTGCCTAAGTACTGATTTATTTCTCCTAATACGTTTAGTTTATAAAATCATTTTGGACACCAAAAAAAA